CCCCCCCCCCCCAGCCGGTACCCCTCCTCGTCCGCAGCACAAAACCCCTTCACCTCGAGCGCCGACTTTCATGCCCAGCCGAGCTATCCGCCGCAAGGGGGAGCGGGAGGATCCGGGATGTACCGCCACGAGTCGGGGTCGGCGTGGAGCTTGGATGAAGAACCGTTGAAGGAGGGTGCGGCGACAGGAGCGGGATACCAGGCTGTCCAGCGAGGGAGGGACAACCCGTTCGCGGCGGACTACAATGGCGGCGCGAAGAAGCGGAATTGGAAGAAGTGGGCGATCGGAGGACTGCTCGGTGCGGTCGTGATTGGCGGTGTTGTGGGTGGGATCGCGGCTTGGAAGGCGCACAGCGGAGGCAGCAGCTCGTCGAGCTCGTCGGGCAGCGGGAAGATGCAGTACAGTGCGCTTGCGTTTGTCTTGTGAGCGGCTCACGCAGACTGATCTTGCCTCATTGTGCCCAGTCGACGGAACCGCCAAGGTCGTCAAGTGGAACCCGTCAGATCCTTCGCAGTTCGAGACAGACAGCCGGTATGTTTGGCTTCCGTTGTTTTGTCGTGGACGACTGGGCGTGCGCGCTGATCTCGACACCGCACAGGCTGAAACCGATCTTCTACGGCCTCGCTTACACGCCCTACAACGCTCTCGAGCCGTGGTGCGGCGCGACGCTGAACAACGTCACGCAGGACATCATCCTCATGAGCCAGCTGACGAGTGAGTCGCTTCGCTTTGCGGTCTCTGCAAGTTGCGTCGGCGCTTAAACTCGCATCTTGCAGCTCGACTTCGCATGTATGGCTCGGCTTGCAACCAGACGCAACTCGTTCTGCAGGCGATCCAGGATACGAAGGTGCGCACGTCTCGTACACGCCGACTCGGCTCTCACCGGATTCACTGTCCGGCGCGCACAGGTCAACATGACGGTCTGGCTCGGCGCGTACGTCGGCGACAACACGACTGTCAATGCTCAGCAGCAAGAGCTCGTGCTCGACGCGCTCAAGATCTATGGGGCGGATCACGTCTCCGGCGTGACCATCGGCAACGAGTTCGTCCTTGCGAGCTTAAGTACGCGTTGAGCTAGCGAGCTGATGGGCTCGAACGGGCAGATACGTTCTCAATGCGGCTGTGGATCAAAAGACGACAGCAATCAATTACCTCGTCCAGCAGATGTCTTCGGTGCGTTCGCTCAACTTTCCGTTCGGCTTTGACGGGCTGACGCCGCCCTCTCGCAGTTCCGCACCGCACTCGCCGCGCTCAACTTGCCGAAGACGCTGCCAGTCGGTACCGCCGATGCGGGCTCGGCCTTCACGACCACACTTGCCGCAGGAGCTGATTTCATCATGTCCGTCCGTTCCCTCACCTCGCCCTCTTCCTCGCTTACCATGCTCACGGGACAGGGCCAACGTCCACCCCTGGTTCGGCGGTCTCCCAATCGACCAAGCAGCGGGCTGGACCTGGGAGTTCTTCGAAGAGAACGACGTCGCCATCTCGAACCAAGTCTCGAACAAGCCGACGCCGTACATCGCCGAGACTGGGTGGCCGACTGCGTCGATGACGCCGGAGAATGCGACGCTTGGTGGAGCTGTTGCGGGCGTTTCGGAGTTGCAGACGTTCCTCAATACCTACCCATGCCAGGCGAACGCAAACTCCTCCTACTGTACGTGGTGCCCCGTTCTTCGCTTGGGCACGCCGGCTGACGAGTCTTCCTTCCTCGACACGCAGACTTCTACTTCGAGCCGGTGAGTCGGGCGCGCCTTCGTCGGTCCTACAGCTTGAGTTGCGACAGAGCTTCTCTTCCTTGTTTCCCTGGCGAGATCGACGAATCACATTGTCAAAGCTCTCGACCAATGCTGACCTTTACCCCCTGGCGCAGTTCGACGAGCCATGGAAAGAGCAGTTCGGCGGCGTCGAGCCGGTGCGTCTTCGCCGTCTCCGACACAGCACTGTCTTCGCGGACTCCGCCGCTTGGCACAGCACTACCGCTGACAGTCTCCGCGCGCGCAGTACTGGGGTCTTTTCGACAGCAACCGAAAACTCAAGGACATCACGTTCCCGACCTGCAGCGTCGATTCGGGCCACGCTTCCGGTTGATTACGCTCATTCAGCAGCCTCCTCCCCCACCGCTCTCTGCGTCTTTCTCCTCCGCATAGACGTTCAGCTTCTCGGTCATCGTCATTCTGCGTACAGACACTCCCCCTTGCCGGCGAGCGCATCTCTTCCTCCCTCTATCTCGTTCGCAGCCTAGCACCCTCGCATACCCCTATCAACCTGCGCCATCTCTTTGCTCTACACTATCCCTTGTTGCATCTCTAACTACCCTTCGGAGCGTCTACGCCGACGACGTTGCTCGAGAGAGGTGGGCTGAGGATGTTGCGAGGGGTGCGGGCTAGGGTTTTGGCGGACTGGGCGGCTCATCATAGTACCGCTGCTTCATCGCTCGATACTTCCGCAGCGAATACATCGCTTCGATCTCTGCGGGCGTGGAAGGAACGGTGGGAGGAGCGAGTGAGGGAAGGGCGACATCGCAGGCCGGGAGGGCGGGACAGAATAGGTGGGTCCATGGTTAGTGAGCACTGCGCAACGACGGACAGCTAAGCGTTTCGGACGCACCCTTCTTGATGAACTCTGCCTTCTTCAAACCCTCCTCGATCCGCTCCCTGTCCGCGCCGACATACGCCCCGAAGCACTTGTGCAGCCTCTCCGTAAACCGGTAGTTGGGGTCTGGGTACTCTCTGCCCAGGTAGTGGAGCTGTGCGACGAGGATGAGGTCAAAGTGGGGCGCGAATCGGCAGACTGATGAGGCGACGCACCTCTTTGTACAGCCTGCGGGCCTGGAAGCGGAGTTGCTGTAAAGACGACAGCTTGGATAGAGTGCGTTGAGCCGTGCAACAAGCTAAAGCGTGAGTTTGAGCGAGTGGCAGCAGCGAGAGCAGCGCGAGACAGCTCTCTGCCGGCGACCACCACCGCTGCTCTCGCCAGGTCGACGAAAGAGACGTTAAGTCACGTTGAATCTTGAAGACTGCAAGGCTGCTTCGTCTCGTCGACGCCCATGCCCTCCCGAACGGACCTGGTCGCCGCCCTTGCTCGCTACCCTCAGTCGCTCGTTCTCCGCGCAAACGCCTCAAAGTCGTCTGCAAACCTCGTCGAATTGGATGGCTGGTACCGAGGGACGCTGCGGGAAACGCTGAAGAAGCGGGAAGAGGAGGACGAGCGGGGAGCGTTCCTTGAGAAGGAGGAACTGGTCAAATTGATGCGCTGGAAGCTTGCTGTGCGTTGCGTTCAGCTTCACGGACTTGTGTACGTCGCACTGACGCGGGTACGTATAGCGAGGAAAGTGGCGACCGCGCCTCCAAGACCTCATCGCCCAAAACCCTTCCTCCGAAATCGAGTCGTCCACCGCCAAAGCCTTCGAAACCGTCGACAGCGATCCCGCCGCCTCGCTCGCGCTTCTGTCCAAGCTCAAAGCAGTAGGCCCAGCGACTGCTACTGCGATTCTTGCTTTTTGGCGACCAGAAGTCGAGCCGTTCATGTCGGACGAAGCGATGGAGAACGTCGGGGCGTACGGCGAAGACGAGGCAGGGTCGCTCGGCAAGAAGGAGTACACGGTCAAGGCGTGGCAGGCGTACCGGAAGCAGATGCGGGACCGGATGAAGAAGGAGGACTGGGCGAGTATCGAGGAGTTAGAGAAGGCGCTGTGGAGTTGGGCGGTCGAGCGGAAGTACGGTGAGGCAGCATACGAAGGAGGGGAGAAGGCGAAGACAGCAAAGAAGCGGAAGAGCGAGGGCGGAGCGGCGGAGCAGACGAAGAAGTCGAAGAAGGCGGCAGCCTGAGTCGCTCACCGGGGTTCTCTTGCTGACGTACGCCACCACTGTCCCTTGTATCTATATGCACCGCGTCTTGATCTTCAAAGAGTTCTACCGCTTCTTGCCCCGCTCAATCGCCTCTTGCAAACCCTCAACGTCCTCAACCCGCTCGCGCAACAATCCCGCTTCGCCTTCAAACGTTCCACCCCGTACCCACGCATTCTGCGAGAGAGGTCGGACGGACATGTCGCTGTAGGAGAGGAGGAGCGACTTGACGGCGGAAGCGGGAAGAGAGGAGGCGGAGGCGGAGGGCGGGTCGAGGCAGAGGACCCAGATGGCATCGTATCCGCCGGCTGTAGTCGTAAGCGTCAGTGAGCGAGCGTCTCACAAGCGAAGGCAAAGCGAAGAAGTGGAAAGTGAGACGCACCTCCGGGAACGCCAGCACCGATCACACCCGGCAAAGCAGAGCAAGCGTCGAGCAGCTTCATCTGCTCGGGCGGCTCGATGGGCACGCCGGACTGCTCGCCCATGTAGCGCATCAAGGCGCGAGTATCCTGCGCGTGAAGCCGTCGTTAGCCATCGAAGCAAAAGCGGTCAAAGAGGGAGCGGTAGACGGACCAGGATGCGCTGGGCGGCAGCAGCAAAGGGAAACGCAGTTGCCGACCACTATGTATATGCGTACGTCAGCGAACTTGTCGTCTCGCCATCTAACGAGAGCACCGAAAGTCACCTCCTTCGCCGTCAACCCCGCAAGCTTCGCCACCTCGCGCTCATACCCACCGGCATCCTCCTTCGCCGCCTCGCTCAGCTCCGCAAACACATCCCTCAGCTTCTCGTTGCTCTTTCCCAGCTCGCTCCACACGCGCTCCGCCTCTTCCGGCGCCGCCTTCTTCCACTGCATCACCTTCCCGACCATGCTAGGGGTATTTGAGCCTGCGTCGACGTCGGCGAGGAGGAGGAGGGTGTGTGGGGGAAGGCTGAAGGAGGTGACGGAGCCGGCGGTGGACGGCGAGGTCCAGGCGGGATTGAGGGAGGGGGAGAGGACGGAGAGAAGGTTTTTGCTTGAGATCTGTACAGCAGCTGACATCAGCAGACAGGCTTATAAAACCGCATGAGAGTCGCATGGAACCCTCGAAGACGGCAGCGAGCGCACCTTCGAACCGCCATTCGCCTGCGGATCCAGCAAGTCGCCCAAGCATTCAACCGCGAATCGCCTGTACGTCTGACTCCCGTACACCGCTGCCGAGACATCGAAGCCGCTGCCGACTTTGCCCTGAGCGAGCGAGTGGACGTATTGTGCGAGGTTGTGGAGGAGGTGGATCCTCTCGTTGTCGGAATTTGGTAGCCGGTCGGATGATGGAGACACCGCTGGTGAGGAAGCGGAGGTCCAGTGCAGGAGGAGAGAGGACGTGAGCGAGGTGACCATGGCGGCGGAGGAACCGAGACCCGTCTTGTGGACGTTTCGGATCGTGCAGTTGAGCGGGGCGAACGGTACCGGCGCCGAGACCTGTAAGGTTCGCTAGTCTTAGCACTGCTCGTCACTTTGGATGGCTGAAGGTGACTCACGGAGCGGGACTGTGAGTAGAAGTCGTTCGAGCCGACAATCGTGACCTCCAGAGGACCGAACGTCGCGGCGGGCTCCAGGGCGGACGCAACCTGCAGCGCCGCCTGAATTGACAGGTGTACGAAGGTATTGCTGGATGATCTGCCAGGGGAAACGAAGCGGAGGTCAGTGCGAAGGAAGCAGGAGTGGGCCAGCGTCGAGTGCGACAACAGCCAGTCCCGAGCCATGCCGCAGAGTAGCGATGCAGGACTCACCCTTCTCCTTCCACTGCATCCACGACCCACTCGCCATCGTCTCTGTGCGCCTCGTACTCCCACCGTCCGTCGTCGAACTGCGGGCTCACAACCGTGATCGCGAAGCGCTCGACGCCCGCGCTCGCCTCTCCAGCATCCTGCACGACTGTGTAGAATCTCGACGGGGTCGCGCTGACGAAGCCCTGATGCTGGCGGTCGAGGACGAGGTATCCTCCAGCGACGAGGACCTTGCCCGGGCATGAGACGACGGTCGGCATTGGCGGCGGTGCGGGTAGGTTCAGGCGGGATACCGGCGTGTCTGGAAGGTAGCAAACGCCTCACACGGCCAGCAAAGCGAGCGGAACGAGCTGGACGAGGACAACTCTTCGCGTTGAACCACGCCAACGACGACGCTCGCTCCTCTCGCTCCTGCTGTTCCCTGGTGAGCTCGATGACACACTCGTAGCTGTACAGGAGTCGCCAGCTTGACGCCGCGCTGTCCTGATTTCGCGCGGCATCGACCCCCCGCGCTCCTTCACCTGCGCTTGCTTGTCGCGCTCACCCGCCGCAAGTCCGCCAACTGCGACACTGCCCACTTGCAGCGTCCGTAGAAGCACCACAACAGCAGATCCGACACCGGCGAGCCTTCGAGAAGCGGGCGAGACGATGGGGACCCGCTTCTGCTGGATTTACGAGCAGAGATCGCCTCGAGCTGGGCGAATCGGTGGGCAGCGGCGGCAACGACGCGCATCATCAGATTGCCGGACAGCCGTTCTCATCCGCGCTTCAGCGAGCAGAACGGTCATTTGCCTGCGCGCCTGGAACGCCCCTCCTTCCAGCCGCCTTCCTTTCTCGGAGGAACTCCTCGACGCTGGCCAGCCGCCTGGCGGACGCTGCTGTCGTGGATATGAAGTTGACGAAGAGCGGATATCCGGACGAACAAGTCGGGTGCGACGCTGGTGGGCAGCAGGAACAGGAATCCTGCGAACGGGACAAGCGACATGGAGCATGGAAACGGAACGGCCGCTCAATCAGTCGCATGGCTTTTCATCTCTCAAGATGATCTGCACCGGATCGGGTCTAGCGTGGCGCATTGCGCCGAGCGTGCCTAGCCTTGCAGAAGAGCTTCTCTCCGGTCTCTGCACTCTTGCTGGCCCTGCCACACTCCCTCGCCCCTCTGAGCGCTCGTACTCGCTTGCCTCGTGCAGACGTCGCCGGCCCCTGCCTGCCGCCCGACGTCGACCTACTCGCCTCGCGCCTGCAGCTCACCTCTGCGAACCTTGTGAACGAGCGACCTCATCAGCTCGCTTACGACAAACGCCCTCATGCCCGACTTGCATTGCTCGTTCGCGGTGCTGGGGACGACAGACAACCCCTGGGCGGACATGCACGTCCTCTTGCACGCGCAGATGTACCCGCCCTTTCGAAGAGGATTCACGGCCAGGGTTGCGGTACTGGTTGTCCTCCTCGTCCTGTGCGTCCTTCACTCCGTGCGATACTCGCTATTCGGGCTGACCTCTCGCGCCTGCAGCCTCATCCTCGTCTCCTTCGCCTATCTCACCGTGACTGTGCGGGACGTGCGAAGAAAGGGTCGGGATATCTGGGTCATGAAGGTGGTCGAGCGGCCAGCCGGTACGCTACGTAGTCGACGAGGCTCTTCTTGCTCCGCTGACGAGATCGCGAACGCAGGCCGCTACCTCGCCTTGAATCAATACCTCATCTACCCTTCCCTTACGGTCGCTCTTTCAGCTGGTATGTCCGCCTTCCTCCGCATCGTACGCGGAACCAGCTGATATCTCGCGAACAGTGTGGATCGCCTACGTCGCCTACGTCTACAGCATGTTTGGCCCAACGGCCGGCAATCCCCGCTCCCTCTTCTACTGGCTCACCCTCTGCTGGCTCCCCTTCTTCGCCCTGCTCGCCGCGACGACCTACTCAACCACCTCCGCCGCCAACCTTGCCTCTCGCGGACGACAACCCCATTCCCACCGTCTCGGACCTTTCACGAGCGCAGCCATGTTCACCATCCTCCTCCCTGTTCTCCTAGGCCTCGTCCTCGCCATCGGCATCTGGACAGGCTCGCGATGGCACCGCTTTGCGAGTCGATGGGAGGAAGTGTACGACTTCCTCGGACAGCAGGCGGCGGCTTACTCGGGCGGAGCGCTGGATCCCGCTCGAGTGAAGCAGGCGGATGCGATGCTCGGCGCACGATGCGCGACGGCGATGAAGGCGAAGGATGCGTTGTTGACGAACAGTATCGTCTACATCGTCGCGGCGGTCGTTCTCGTCGCCGTGCGTCTTTCCTTGTTCCTCGCTCACCAGCGACAATTCCATCTGACAGACTTAGCGTCTTCAGCTCAACCTATTCAGCGGCATCTACCTCCTCTCGACTCTCCGCTACATCGACGACCGCCAACTCATCGTTCCTCGCGGCACTCCCCTCGTCGCGCCTCTCCAGCCGCTCCCTTCCTCAACCCTCAATGGCGCCGACCCGACTCTCGCCGACGTCACTGAAGCAGGCCAGCCTACCGCCGCATGGGAAGCAGCAGCCGAAGCCGAGGTGTCGAAGCTCAAGGTGCACCGGCTGAGATGGGACGTGACGCTCTTCTTCATGTCGGTCGTCCCGTCCTGTCTTGCCTTCATTGGCTATACGGCGTGGCTCGGGACGCAGATGATTGCCATCATGAGCGACGCTGGGAAGTGAGTCGCTCGTTCGCCCTCTTTTCCCCGCCTGAAACGGTGACTGACTGGACCTTGCGACTTTGCAGGTACGAGTTTGCGACACTCGGCATGATCTGGATCTACGCCTTTGTCTCGCTCGTCTGCCTCTCAGCTCTCACCATCAAGACCCTCCTCTCGCTCCGCCTCTCCGCACGAAGGCGACTCGAACCCGTCCCTCCCTCCGTTGAGTCGCAATCAACGCGGCGATACCGACCGACGGAGCAAGTCCGACCACGCGACTGGGCGGAAGAGCAGGAGGAGTATGGTGTTGGAAGCCAGCAGGAAGAGTGGCGAAGAGGTGATTACTCGTGGGATGAGAAGCGGGGCGGGGAACGACCGCCGAACGAGTGAGGCCGTTCCGTGCGTTGTATGAGTATCGCAGTCGGGTCTTTGTAGCACTGCACGATGCGTCGTTCAAGCGAAAGGGTATGCGAGCGCGTCGAGACGAGCCAGCCACATTGAGGCGAAGGTGAATAGCCAGCACCGAGCAGCCTCGCATGTCCAGACAGCGCGGTGCACAGTCGCCATCCTTCCCTCAAACTTGTAAGCTCGAGCGGAAGTCCAGAAGTAGTTTGAACAGAACGAGCAGGACATGGTCGACAGAGGGAAACGCACACGCGTACAGCCCGGCAGGTCCAGCAGCATTTGCGCGCCCATGATAGGCCGTTTCATAGGCATTCCTCGCGCGGAAGAGTTCCGCTCCTCTTTGACGATAGACGACTCCCAGAGGTCGAGCAGGCGACGAGGCGAAAGCCATGGCGACCGCATGGGCTCGCCTGCCCTCCTTCGCACCGGACTCGTCTAGTAGCTAATCGCTGGATCAGCACAGTCTCATAAGCAGCCAAGCGAGTCGAGTGAGCGGTCGTGAGCCAACCTCTCGTCGACGACGCGGCCCTTCCTTGATCCCGCACCACAACCCGCTCAGATGGCAAGCACAGCAGCACCGACCGCGAACGCACCTACAAACGCAGCGCAAGCCGCGCCCAAACCGTCCAACGCGAACCCTCACCTCCTTCCCTTGCAAGAGGTGCGTCTTCATCGGTTCGAGGTGACTGTGCGAGTCTGGGACGAGTGAGCTGACTGGTTGCGCGCTGGACAGGACGACGAGTTTGAGGAGTTCCCTGCGGAGGGTGCGCCGCCTGTTCTGCTGCCGTCGTGGACCTCCCAATCGCCGCTGACCACACCGTTCCTCTCCTCCTCACGATTCGCTCTCGCCCGTCTCGCTCGTCTCCCCTGACCGTACGCAGACTGGGATATCAAAGAGTCTTACGGCGCACACCTCGCAAAGAAGGCAGACGGCGCAGCAGGCGCGCAAGGCGGAGCAGGCGCACAAGGAGGCGAGGGATCAAAGGCGCTCGACTCGCTGTGGGAGGACGACTGGGACGACGATGATGTTGGAGATGACTTTTCGGTGCAGCTGAGGTGCGTTGGGCGTTCGGTTGCTCTTCGATGGGTTGGCGAAGTGTTCAGGTCATGCGATGGCGACCGCTTGCTCCTAAACTCCGCACAGCTCGTTGCGAAGCACGACAGGAACTGATCCGTTTGCTCACATTTCACAGGGGCGAGCTCTTGAAGCAGCAGGACCAGATGCAAGCATGAGGCGGGTCGACTTTGGGAAGCCAAGACGGAGGAGTAGGCCAACCTGAACGGCCGCTGTAAACCGCATGTTCTCATACGCAACATCCTGGGCTACCCTGAGCGGATGCTCGGGATGGAGGAGAGCTAGAGAGGTAAGTGTTGCGCGACGGCGAAAGAATCGAGGGCGGAGTGATGGTGCTTCGAACGCCAGGTGGCAGCGGATCTTCAGAAAAACAGCATCGACTTCCTGTGAGTCAGCCTCAGCATTCCTTGACGTTTGGCTCGCAGCGAAGCCGGGAGAAGCGGAGCCGCGAGGAAAATCTCCTTCTCTCGCAAGCCAGCGATGGTCAGGAACGAATCTACATGATCAATCAGAACAGACGAATGCTGAAGCTACTCTCTCCTCCCTTCTCCCGTCCTCTCAGCACCCTCCCTCGCCATTCGAGTGAAAAACCACGCCGACCGCCTCACTTGCGGTACCACTGCACTCCCTTCCTCGATCTCCTCATTTTGCGTTGGAGCTGTAACATGCCGTAGCTGTTTGTCGAGGTGTGGGAGTGTCGGGAGAAGATGGGTGGAGGTCGGAGGGGAAAGGGGAGGAGAGGGAGGGGGTGTGTGGTCGAGCGCATCGAGACGTCCATTCGAGCGACACCGAATCGTCCGCAGACAACAACAGCGACAACCACGTCGAATACACGTCCACCGTCACGTACAGGCGGGGCCGGAGAGGGCGGGAGAGGGCGAAGTCGAATGCGAGAGCGAGGCGGAGGACGAGATGGCGGTCGGGTGGGGCGGCGCACAGGCGGAATGGACGTGGGCATCACGGTGAAGGCGAGAAGATGGCGCGGAGACGGCGAACCAGAGCGAGAAGCGAGTAGTGTCGAAGGGGATTTGACAGAGGGAAAGAGAGGGAAAGGGGAGAGAAAACCTGGTCAGCGCTCTCTCCTGCCTACACACGACGACAAACCAAACGCACAGCAACGCCTCAGCGGTCGGAGGGCATCCCGGCACGTAGAGGTCGACAGGGACGATCCTGTCGCAACCGCGAACGACCGAGTACGAGTAGTGGTAGTAACCGCCTCCGTTCGCGCACGAACCCATCGAGATGACCCAGCGGGGCTCGGGCATCTATGAAGAAAAGTGTGAGTGAGAATGAGAGGATGAGGAGGTGAGATGCGGGCAAACCTGGTCGTAGACCTTGCGGAGTGCAGGCGCCATCTTGTTGGTGAGCGTCCCGGCGACAATCATGATGTCGGACTGCGCGAGGGGAGCCGAAAAGTCAGCTCGGAAGCAATGAATGGTAAGGATCGCGTGAACGCACCTGACGGGGACTGGCACGGAAGACGACACCGAGACGGTCCTGGTCGTAGCGAGCGGCAGCCATGTGCATCATCTCAACAGCGCAGCAAGCCAAGCCGAAAGTCTGAACCAGCACGGGAACCAGAACAAGCCAACGAGCGAGAGTCGGGGAACATGGGGACGACGAGGGTCAGCGCAAACGTCGTCAACGGCAGTGCGAGATGAAGGCGCGCGAACGCACCATCGGCCACATGGAACCCTGCCGCGCCCAGTTGACAATCTTGTCCATGGTGCCCAAGGCATACTCGACGCCGTTGCGCGGGGTCTCGAGGCTGAGCTGGTTCGAGTTGACCTTTGCGAGGTCGAATGCCTGGCTCGCCTGGACCTGGTTGACGGGCGTCGAGACCTCGGTGCTGGGACTGGCGGTGCGCGCGGGGGTGGTGGCGATGGAGCGGGCGAGGATGGCGGAGGGACGAGCCTGGCGAAGCGCCGGCTGGAGACCTGTGTGCGGGCGCGGTGGTGAGCTGGCTGGGTTTGTCTGGTGTGTTGACCGAGTGCTAACCTGTCCGGATCGACTGCATTGCTGTGGAGGAGCAGAGAGCGCGAGGTGGCGGAGTGCGACGAGGTCGGGCGCGACGCGAGGAGACGACGCTCTTGCCATTGGGCGCACACTCTCACCGCTCTCTTGGGGCTCTCGCTGGACTCAGATTTTAGCCTGAACGCTGAGCTTCCCACCCGTCCAACTCGCATCGTCGTAGCGGGCGTACTCGCTGTTCAGCACACGCTCAAACGCGACAACCTCGCACGATCCCTCGAATCTCGCTTGTTCCGCCTGTGTGGTCCTGTCCAGCATACGAATCTTGACACGGAGCACTACGGCTTGGGTCAACGCGGGCTCGATGTCGTTCGCCTGCACTCAAGCATCAGGCTCTCCCTTCTCCCGTCTCGCCTGCTTCCCTGCGCATCTCGCTCACTCCAGGGTCCTCGTCCCCACTCATTGCTTTGTTCGAGACGACGGCTGGCTGTGTCGCGCTGCGGAAGCGTCGCGTTGGCCTGCTCGCGGTGGTGAACAAATCGCGAGTCGTTACCTGCGGCAAGCTCGGCCAGTCCAGGCATACGCCTCTGTAAGGCGCGATACACAAGATGAAGCTTTGTGTCCTTGAGCAGTGAAGCCAGCGGCAGAGATTGTAAGAGGCAGATAGCGGACAGCTTGCGACCCGAGTGGTCGAGTGGAGAAGATGCATCAGCAGGGACTGCTAGATCCGGTTTTGCATCAACAGCGAAAGCGCAATTCGCGATGCGTGCACTCCCGCGCAAGTGAAACGGAAGACGGCGAGGTTCAGACGAGAGTACTCTCCTCGATGCGCTCGACCACCACACCTCCTCCCTCTCCTCCCCTTTCCCCTCTGACCTCCACCCACCTTCTTCCATGACTCCCACATCTCGCCGAATAGATACGGCATGCTTCAGCTCCAACGCAAAATGAGGAGATCGAGGAAGGGAGTGCAGTGGTACCGCAAGTGAGGCGGTCGGCGCGGTTCTTCGCTGGAATGGCGAGGGAGGGTGGTGAGAGGATGGGAGAAGGGAGGAGAGAGTGGCTTCAGCATTCGTCTGTTCTGATTGATCATGTAGATTCGTTCCTGACACTTGGTCGGCTTGCGAGAGAGGGAGATTCTCCTCGCGGCTCCGCTTCTCCCGGCTTCGCTGCGAGCCAAACGTCAAGCAATGCTGAGGCTGACTCACAGGAAGTCGATGCTGTTTTTCTGAAGATCCGCCGCCATCTGGCGTTCGAAGCCCCTGCACTCCGCCCTCGATTCTTCCGCCGTCGCGCAACAGTTACCTCTCTAGATCTCCTCCATCTCGAGCATCCGCTCATGGTATCCCAGGATGCTGCGTATGAGAACATGCGTCTGACAACGGCCGATCAAGTTGGCCTGCTCGTCCGTCTTGGCTACCGAGAGTCGACCCGCCTCATGCCTGCATCTGGTCCTGCTGCTTCAAGAGCTCGCCCCTGTGAGATGTGAGCAAATGGATCAGATCCTATCGTGCTTCACAACGAGCTCCACGGTGTTCAGGAGCAAGCGGTCGCCATCGCATGACCAGGCAGGGGGTGCAGTGAGGCGTTCGGGCGGGGCGAGTCGGTGGAGAGTGAAGACGGACAACGGCGAGGAAAGCAGGGCAGACAATCGGTGCAGAGTGAGGGCAATCGAGCAAGAAAGCCAAGCCTGACATAGCGGAAGCAGGAGAGAGGAGATGCTTGAGCGCCGGAGGAAGCGGAGTGCACGCCTGGTCGCGTAGTCCTTCGAGCATCACGCTGGTGGTTCAACGAACACTCAAACCGTTGTTTTGTCCCTACGCAGTCCCGCTAGACCCGCAGACGGCGCCGTCGACGAGCTGAGTTGTCATCGAGTCGCTCGAGCTGATGAGGCGAGGGAGGCGGGAGCAGGCAGCGGGACGGCGTGGCGACAATGCTCAAGCGTAAGCAAAAGGCTATGACCCGATCAGCCGTGTCAAGCGGCCCAATTGAGCGTGTCGAGTGCTCGGTACGGGACGAAGCTGTGCTCGTGCAGGAGGACGCTCCTCGTTCTCCGCCAACTCTTCCGCTCTCGCTTTACGAAGGAGTGAAACCGCGCCAGGCTCTTCCGGGCTTGCGCTGAGTCACGCGCGCCCCGCCATCATGGCCGCCCCCTCGACATCCCTTACCTCCCGCCTCGCCGACTCGCTTCGCACGCCAAACGGCAAAATCGCAGCCGTAGCGCTCGTATCGGGCGTCTTCACAGCTGGCTCGATCCTCGTCGCCCAGACTCTGCGGCGCAAGACCCGTCGAAGACGGCTAAAGAGCGCGATTCAGGAGACTTTGGAGGAAGAGACGGACGACGAGGACGAGCTGGTGGATTTCACGCGGCCTGTGGGGAGCAGGAGGTCGAGTATGGCTGGTGTGTCGCAGAAGGCTGCGCGGCAGGCGACGGAGAATGCGAGGGCTGGAGGGAAGGGCAAGAAGAAGACGAGCGAGGTGATTATCCGCGAGGCGCTGGCTCGGAACTATGTCTTCCTGGGCGAGGACAAGATGGATCAGGTTCGGAAGAAGTTTGTGGTCGTCGTCGGGCTGGGAGGGGTCGGGAGTGCGGCGGCTGTCATGCTTGTTCGAAGCGGGATCCGCAAGATCCGCATTATCGACTTTGACCAGGTTTCGTTGAGTTCACTGAATGTGCGTGCTGGCTCTCTTTCGTGCCCCTGACGACTAGCGCTAACGCCCGAGTCCTGCAGCGACACTCGACGGCGACGCTCGCCCAGGTCGGCACGCCCAAGGTTACCTCGTGCGCCGAGTACTTCGCGCAGATCGCGCCTTGGGTCGAGGTCGACGCACGTGTCGAGTTGTTTGAGAAGGACCGGGCGGCAGAGCTGCTGGAAGGTGAGTCCCGCGCACTCCAGTTGCGAGGGCGAGATGAGGATGTCCTCGTTTCCGGCTTCGCTGCTTGAAGGAGTTTTTGACTCATGCAGCACTTCGCAGGTAACCCCGACTACGTCATCGACTGCATCGACAACATCGACTCGAAAGTCGACCTCCTCGCCTACTGCAGCAAGAACGATCTCCGCGTCTTCTCCTCGCTCGGTGCGGCGGCGAAGAGCGACCCGAGTCGTATCCAGATCGCGTGCGTCGAGCTCACGTACGGGTTTTGGCGAATTGAGGCTGATACTCGGATGTTTGCAGCGACATCTCGACAACTTTCGAGGACCCGCTCGCCAAGTCGGTTCGGCGAAGGCTGTACGTATAGCGGCTCATCTGCTCAGCTGCTCGATCTGCTCCCAAAACGCTAGAAGCTGCTGACACTCGTGACCTTTTCCTGGACAGGCGGTTGGAGGGCGTTGCGAGCGGAGTCCCCGTTGTCGTGCGTTCCCCGTCCCCTTCGTTCCCTTCAATCCCGTTAATTCTTCTTCTCCGATGCAGTACTCGACCGAAAAGCCGCGACCGGACCTCGGACTCCTCCCACTGCCAGAAGAAGAGTTCCAGAAGGGCAAGGTCGACGAGTTGCACGCCATGTCCAACTTCCGCGTCCGCATCTTGCCCGTCCTCGGTCCGCTGCCTGCGATGGTGCGTCCTGCCCGTGCTCTTGCTCGTCGACCAGTGCTGACGGCAATGCGTGGGGCAGTTCGGAAACGTCGCGGCTGCGTACGTCTTGCAGGACCTCGCGGGCTTCCGACAAGAGCCGCTCCCAGTCAAGTGAGCCTCCCAACCTGCCTAGCAGATTGCACAACCGCTGACCCCTCCTCGTCTTGCAGGACCCGCCCCAAGCTGAACGCGACCTTGCATCGCCAACTCTCGGCAGTCCAGCAGAAGCTGACAGGCGACAAGTGCGTGCTGCCATTCTGCAATCTGATTTTATCATCGCTGATCTGATCTGTACTCGCAGCCGTCTGCCCATTACGGAGGACGACTGCGGCTACATCTTCGAAGAGCTGCACCGCGCCAAATCCGTTGCCCCACCACGCGCCTTCCCCTCCCGCCCCACGCTGCTCCCGTGGAAGAAGTCTCGCGGACTGGCATGGGACAACCTGGTCGTGTTTGATCGCGAGGAAGGGTACAGACATGAGGAGCACTGTTTGTTGGGCGACGAGGAGCCGGAGGAGTATTGGGGAAGGGAGGTGGCGGACTTGGTGGAGAGTAGGATGGCGGAGGAGAGGCGGTTGCGGCATTACAGGATGTAGGAGGGCGGGGAGGTAGACAAGTAACTTCCGTCTTGGCCAAGAGGTCGTCTCGCTTTCAACTCGCTGCGGCTGTTTCGCCTCGCGTCTACTGTACTGACGGTGCTCGTGTTCCTGCGAGCACTGGAAGCGCCGCTACTGTGCAAGCTGGCCAACCTCTGGCTGACCTTCCCAAGCCTGGCTCTCCTCCTGCGCTCTCTCGCTCTTCCACTTCACCGCTACACCTCGCTTGGCATGTCGCTGGCTTGGCCGACTCAATACGCACCCGCAAGCTTCCCAGCAACGCAGCTTCACGCCTCCGCCACCGCTCCACCCCCTCCAGCGCCGTCCTCGCTCCCTCTCTCCTCGGCCCTCCCTCCCGCCCCTCCCGCGCGCGACCTGCACAGCGCACGCATCAAGTTCGTCCTCGACAAAGTCCGACTCGAACTTGATGCGGCGCGCGAGGCGGTCAAGGAGGTTTGTAAGCTGCAGGAGGCGGTTGAGGGGGTTAGGGAGGAGGTGAGGGTCCTGAAGAGAGGGTGGGACGAGCGAGGTGCGTTCGCTTGCTTCGCTTGAGGGTGAAAAGGCTAATGCGAATCGGGCGAGTGCAGAGCGCGAGCTGAAAGAGGCGTTCGTCGAGGCTGTCAAGGAGACGATGGAGGAACACCTCGCTCCTCTTCGCGTCGGACTCGCGTCGCTCGCGGACCAGTTCAACGCCTCGCTCTCGACGCAGAAGTGCGAGTTCGATGCAGCTCTGAAGGACGCGAGCGCTTCAGTCGTGCGTGAGACGGAGGAGAAGGTGCGGTTGGTCGAAGAGGAGGTTGGGAAGCGGATTCAGGATGTGCGTGGACAGATCAAGGACGAGATGCGGGCCGCGACGCAGAAACTTGAGGAGAAGCTGACGGGGGTGGTCAGGACCGCTGAGGGGGATGCGGCAACTGTGCGAGCGTTGGAGGACAAGGTTGAGGAGCTGGAGGGCAAGTTGCGCGTCGCCGAGCAGGAGGTACGTTCGGGCAGCACTGCTTCAGCATCGAGCAGCACTGAGAAACGGCCTCAGGCGCAGCAACTCGCCGCGAAGCAAGAACAGCTCGAAGCCGCAGCGATTGAAGCAGCGAAGAAGCAGCCTACTCCCCCGTTCCAGCGAGCAGCTTCTTCGACACCGGTCCGTCCGTATGTCGCGCCCAGCACACCGATACGACACGCGAGTGAGCAGTACCCTGTCACCTCGTCCAGCCCCTCGAGCGCTTCGCCTACCCGTCGTCGCCGTCGTGGTCTCTCGTCCGCCGGGCTCATCGCCGTCCAGGCTCGTCCTACGTCCCTCCCTTCCCTCAGCACCACCCAGACGCAACCTGAGCAGCCGACGTCTTCCTCCGCGCCCGCAATTGCCCTCCCCTCTGCCGCCTCGAAGCCGCCGCAGAGCGCCAGGTCCACCCGGCAGCGTTCAAAGCGGCGCATCATCGAGCAGGACGACAGCCTCGACTTTGAGCAGGACGTCGAGGCGATTGGCGTTGCGAGTGGACGAACGCCGGTAGCAGACAAGAGGGTCAGCCGGTCGAGCAAGCGGAGGAGGGTGATTGAGCAGGAGGAGACGCCGGTCGGGTCGCAGGCAGACAGTGCAGGCTCCGCTGAGCAGGTCGCGTATGCCGGCGAGGGCCGGGATGGACAGACCGAGGCGAGCGGGGTCGACGAGGACGAGGAGGAGCCGGACACGCTCGAGTGAGATGGGGCGGGCGCGCGGGTCTGCTTGTTGTTTGGCCGTGGTGCCAGTGTGTGTGCGTGCATTGCCAGCGTGTCAGGCTGAGCCCTCGAGCGGTGTGAGCGTGTGTGAGCGTGGGCCAGCCTCGAGCGACTTGGCGTGGTCGTGCTCGACTCGCCGCTTTCCCTCCGTCTCCTTCTCGCCTCAGAAGTCAGATCACCTCGCCGACAACATGTGCGTGCATGGCTCACACTGCAGCTAACCTGCCAGCTCCGTGCAGCCCGCCCAGCCCAGCGCGCGAAGCGAGCGACCACCGCCGCCCGTCCCGTCGCTGACTTTTGCTCGCTCCCGCCCATCCACCTCGCCCTCCCCTCTGACTGCCTCGCCTGCTCGCCCATCCGATCCACCACACTCTCGACGACCCGCCGACCCGACCGCTGTGCTTTTGACGGACGCGATGCCCCCCTCAACAGGGCTCGCGGTCCTAAGAAGCACATGTCGCGTCTCGCCGCGCCCAAGGCGTGGATGCTTGACAAGCTCGGCGGTGAGGAGGATATTCTGGGGACTTGGGAGGGAATGCGTCGGAGCGGGGGAGCTGACGAGGTGGTCGTGCGCAGGTGCTTACGCCCCCAAGCCTTCGCCTGGTCCCCACAAGCAGCGCGAGTGCTTGCCGCTCTCGGTGAGTGGTGCATTGTTTCGTCGAGTGCAGAACAACGCTGAGCCTAGCGCACCCGCAGATCTTCATCCGCAACCGCTTGAAGTACGCCCTCACCGGCCGCGAGGTTACCCTCGTCGTCAAGCAGCGCCTCATCAAGGTCGACAACAAGGTCCGCACCGACGAGACCTACCCCGCTGGCTTCATGGGTCAGTCGCGCTTCACCTAGCGCTCTCTGTTGTCCTTAAGTGCCAGGCTCAGAGACTAACAGGTCCGCCGTTTCCTCTTCTCTCTCATCTCTTCTCCCGGGGCTCTTCCCACACCCTACCGCAACACCACTCTCTGTGCGCGTGTTTGTCGGCATGACGGGACGGGATTTGCTGTCGTGCAGACGTCATCTCGATCGAGAAGTCGGGCGAGCACTTCCGCCTTCTCTACGACGTCAAGGGCCGCTTCGCCATCCACCGCATCTCGGAGGAGGAGGCGTCGTACAAGCTCCTCAAGGTCAAGAAGGTCCAGCTCGGCGCCAAGGGCGTCCCCTTCATTGTCACCCACGACGGACGCACCATCCGCTACCCCGACCCCGCCATCAAGGTCAACGACACCGTCAAGTTCGACCTCGTCGAGAACAAGATCGTCGACCACATTAAGTTCGAGCAGGGCAACGTGCGTATCTGAGGCGGCGAATCGCTGAAGAACCAACACTGACTCTCTTTGCTCGCACAGCTCTGCATGCTCACTGGCGGTCGTAACCAGGGCCGCGTTGGCCAGATCGTCCACCGCGAGCGCCACCAGGGCGGCTACGACATCGTCCACGTCCGCGACGTCCTCGACCGCGAGTTCGCGACCCGTCTCTCGAACGTCTTCGTCATCGGCGCCGGTGCCAAGGCTCTCGTCTCTCTCCCGAAGGGCAAGGGCGTCAAGCTCAGTATCAGTGACCAGCGTGACCAGCGCAGGCAGCGTTTGGAGAAGCAGCGCGCTTAGGTTGTGGCAGGATTCGGACGGTAAACCCGTCGCCGCAATGCAGGCGCTCTTTCTCATTTCTTCTGTTCCGTCAGACGCCGTCCTCGTTCGCACCTTGCTCGAAGCTCTTTCGCCGTCCCGCAGAATCGAGTCGTCCGCAATTCTTCCGCTCTCCCCTCTCGGTCCTCCTCTTCGATCAAACTTCGACAATTATGGCACCGGATCTCGCCAAGCTGCTCGTCAGCTCACACAAGCTACGCTCTAGATTCCTGTCAGCGCCTCGCTACTGCTGCGACGCGGCCCAGCGCCCACACTCGCTTTCCCCTTCCCACAGCGCACCTCGCGGTGCATCCCTTCCACGCTTGCACGAGCTCGAACAAGCTCCGCCCGACTCGCAGTCAACTTGGTGCGGCAGGAGGATCTAAGGGAAGCTGCCGAACAGGCTTCGTGCTGTCTGCTCCTCCCCAGTCGCGATGCTCTCGCGCATCCACAATCCAAAACGCAACCTTTCGTAAAGTTCGACGGAAAAGCGCACCAATTCCACGAGAGAGCTTGCTAGCTTCGACATCAGGACAGAATCTCCTGCAACAAATCCTCAACAACCTCAGTCCGCTGCTGAGTCTTCGCATTCCTCTCCTTCGAGCTCTTTCCGCTGGTGCGCGGAGCCTCGACTCGGTCGATGAGCTCTTCAGGCGAGTACGAGGCGAAGTAGTCCGTCGAGCCGACGCCGCACGTCTCCCAGACGACAAGCACCTCGCCGTCGCGACTGAGGGTAATCTGCTGGTCCTCCTCCTCATAGCGCATGAGGACGCTTCCGGCAGCATATTCGCTTTGGATGCGGAACATGGCCACCATGGCACGCTTGCCGTAGGCGAGAACGAAGCGCAAGGAGCGGGCACGACGGTGATAGCCGGGAGTGTTGTCGGCGTCCTGCCCCATGTGGAGCTGCACGCCAACGCGGAGATTCTTGCGCGTGACGATCGGCGGGAGCTGCTGCTTCGCTGCGCGGGAGAGGGAGTAGAGAGCCGGGTAGAATGGGCTGTCGGAGTAAGGCGCGAGCGCGAGCTGGTCGACGGGGTCGAGGCGAAGGTCGATGAGTGGCGCCTCTGAGCTGTACTTGTTCTGAAGGCTCTGGAGCAGCGTCAACGACGGATCGATCTGGAACGGCTTCGAGCCGGAGTCTGCAAAGAGGCGGGTCTTGAGTTTGGGCTCGCGGGAGGCCGGCTTGTTGCTGGTGGTGGCACGGCTCGACTTGGAGCGCAGCTGGCGCGAGTTCGAAAGACCGATCACAGCTTCGCCGCACGTAGTACTCGGCACGAAGCGCGAGACCAGACCGAGGTAGATCGAAGCCGGTACATCGGGAAGGTCGCGAAGTGCCGTGAGAGGCGTGCCGGGCGCGAAACGAGAGACGACATGAAGCATATCGCCGACGTGGTTGACAAGGCCGCAGCTCGAAACGTTACCGCCGCCCCAGTCCGCTGGCGAGAAGCGCAGGACGGAGGTGATGGCTTCGAGAAGCTTGTTGTCGGCGTTCGAGAGCCCGGTCGGATCGAGATCAGCCCCCGTGCAGACGAAAGAAAGAGTGGGGTCGACGGCGACGCCTTGATTGGCGTGTACGAAGCGGGAGATCACCTTCAGCTGGACCTTGTGCAACGACGGATTCGATTTGGCGTCGGGACCGACGTAGTGCGCGAAGGCGCGGACTTCGATCTTCTCGTCTGGGCCGATCTCGGCATCCCAGCCGTCTGCTTCGCCTGAGTATGAGGTGACGCGCTTCCACTCGCCTTGCCACCCTCCCGCGTCCACGAACCTCCTGAGCCCGCGCAACCAAGCCTGGTACTTCCGCAATTGACCGTAATCGGCAGCGAGTTCGATCATCTCGTCGGTCTGAGCGAAGTCGAGGAAGGAGTCGGCGATGTCGCGCTCCTTGAGGAAGACCTCGCCGAGGTAGACGTAGTAGGGGAGGGCGGGTCGCTCGTACTCGGCAATTTCGACGTTCAAGCGTGTCCCCGAGAGCGGTTGGAAGGCGAAGTCGCCGGCAGCTGGCTTCTTGAGCATCTCGACGGGGAGGAGGGCGAGCAGGCGACGCAAGGTGGATTTGTCGGCCCCAGCCAGCGTGTAGTTGTGATTCCCTTGCAGCTCTTGGTTCAAGTCGAGGACGCGTTGAACTGCAGCGTCGAGCTCGCTCGTCGGCAGATCGCCCGCGAGGCCGTAGTCGTCGCTCCCATCGAAGACAGGGAAGCGGACGCGGAGGCCCGACGGCGTGTCCACGAAGGGGTGTGTGAGCGAGTAGGCTGGCCAGCGACGGTAGCGTACACTCGTCCTGAAGGTCGTCCTACGCGGCTTCTTCGCAGGCGGCTCGACGGGTGCAGAGAAGGTGTCGCGAGGGAGACGAAGGCGTTTGGCGGGCGAGGAGGAAGCCGCCGGTCGCGCCGCATGCGCAGCCTCATGCTGAGGGTGCACTGAGCTTGCAGCAGGCTTCGGCGACGTCTCAGCTGCGGGTCCAGGAGCTGTAAGAGGATGTCGACGAGGTCAGTTCCTCATCGCTCATCCCGGTTCACCGTTCACCTCAGTCCTCTCCTTTCACGTACACCAAGCACCTCCGTACCACCGGCAAAACGAACAAGATACGCACCTTCTTCTTCGACCGACGCCTGCCCAGCCATGCTGTCCTCGTCCTCGTCCCCGCTCGCGCCCGCTTCGAGCTCCTCGACGGTCCCCAATCCGAACGCCGCAAGCATGTCCTGGACGAGGGGAGGGCCTTTCATCTTCGGCGGCGGCGGCGCGGCGAGCTGCTGCTCTGCCCTTGAGATGCGGCGTGGAGTCGTCGAGTTCATGTCGAGGAGGTCGGGGCAGGCGTCGGGGGCGGCCAAATCGTCGCAACGGGCTCCGTGGCAGTCAGCAGCGTCGAACGAAGACTCTCGTAGCACGACTGGGGCGAGACGGAGCGCTCCGAGCGACGGTGGCGGAGGCAAGCGTGGCTGCAAGGTCGTTGTCGCAGACGTAGTCCCTCTCCCTCACTCCCCACGACACGCACTGCCTCGAGAACCCCGTTGTCTGTTGAAGTAATGTCCTTCAAGCCCACGCCTGCCTCCGAGACCTGCAGGAGGGCGCAGGCGACTCTCTTCGTCCTCTCGCAGCTCCCCCTCGCCATCGCACCCAACTATCCGACCAACCCGCTCACGGTGCGCGCTGTCGGCCTACACCACGATTTAAGCGCTCACTCGCGTCTCGCAGGCGTCGTCCAACTTCACCGATCGCCTCGACACCATTGCCAGCAGCTCAGCACTCGTCCTCGTCGACTACTCGGTCGTTGATCGCTCGCTGTGCGACCCGCTCAGATCGTCCCGTCACCCAATCACCCTCCTGACGAAGATCTCGGCGCGCAGGCGTTTCGTCTTCACGAACGAGGCGGAGCGTGAGAAGGGGATCCGCAAGTCGGTCGAACTCGCCTTGGGTTTGCAGGTGCGAGATCTCCTCGGCTCCCTACGGACGCGTTCGTCGCTGACAGGAAACTCATGATCGCAGGCTTCTGCTCAGACCGCCAAGGAGTGGAGCCCGAGCGAGAGGCTCAGCCAGCACCGTCCTGTCGAACGCCGGTTCTACGTCCCCAAGCTTGATCTCGCCGCCTCGACTTTCGACCCGGATGCCCTTCTTGCGCACTTCCCCCGCCTGTCACAGCTCTTTTCGGCATTCTGCTATTCGGTGGAAGCCAAGACCGCCGGCCTGTACGTCAAGGACGACTACGAGAACGTTCCTTCACCGGCGCCTCGACCTCCGGGCTCGATCTTCCCTCGGCCAATCAAGCCACCGATGGCAGCAGATCAGTCATCGCCTTCGAGGTCCGCCAGCTCTTCGTCAGCACCGTCGTCGCCGCTTGACCAGGCTCTCGCCCGCCTCAAGTTGCAGCAGACGAGTACCGGCTCCCCGCGTCCCTCCGCCGCCGCGTCTGCGGCGCGCGGGACCAGCGCTCGGCCTCAGCCGCCGTTCCTCGTTTCGGTTGCGACGCAGACGCCTCCTCCTCCGCCTTCGCCAATCCTCATCTCTTCTTCCACGGCGACCGATCGCCCACCTCCACCACCTGTTCTCGTTGACGCATGCACTCAGCTCGACGCCGACCTCGAGCTGCAGCGCATTAGCGCGCTCGAAGCCGAAATTGCGTCGCGTCTGCGCGTCGAACAAGAAGAGCGCGACTCGCGCGCCAGGACTGAGGAGGCCGAGCGCGCTGCTCGTATGACGAAGGAAGAAGATGAGCGCAAGGCGCGCATTTGCCGTGAAGAGGGGCACTATGCTGCGTACCGGTCGAAGCTCGAGCAGGAGGCGAGGGACGCCGAAGAGAGGGCGCACAGCGTGCGTGACAAGGAGGAGCGCAAGGCGGCGAGCGCGCGCAAGGTCCGCGAGGAGGAGGAGCGCAAGGCGGAGGATGCGCGTAAGATCCGCGAGGAGGAGGAGCGCAAGGCGGAGGATGCGCGGCAGGAGCGGCAGGAGGAAGTGAGGAAGGCCAGGGATGCTCGCTCTGAGCGGAAGGAGGAGGAGCGTCGCGAGGAGGAGGCGTACGAGAAGCGCAAGGCGGAGGAAGCTCGGGCTGTGCAGGCCCAGGAGGGGGTTGTCAGCGGAGGACATCCCCATCGTGCAGGCTTCTGTATCCGGGTCATCAACGTGAGTGACGCTGCCATCAAGCACTCCTCAGATACCAGTCACATACTGACACTGCGTACCTGTCTCTGCGCAGCCCCTCTACAACAACAAGAGGCGCATGGTCGACTTCCTTCAGGAGAAATACGGCGAGGTCACCGCCCTCTTCTTCCAACCGACTCTGTTGCACGGCCAGCAATGGTTTGTTGCGCGGTTTAAGAACCGAGATGAAGCACTTTCGGTCATCTGTGCGCGCGACTTTCCTCCGCTAAGTCGTTTACCAGGCCATCCCTGATGAGTTGACCACAGCCAACATCAACCTTGCAAAAGAAGGAATCGCGACGCGGTGGCCGGATCATTACGAAAACGCGCAGGTTCTCGTGCGAATGGTGTGTTTGGACACTATCTCCCGCTTACACTTCAGCTGATGAAACGTCCACAGATGTACGACTCGTTCAAACCCTCCGACATTAAGCCGCTCATGGACGACATCGCGACGTGGTACGGCCAGGACCCGATCGGTGTGGCTCTGCCGCCGGGCAAAGGCAAGCTCGTCCTGCAGATGTCCACGCCTGCGGCGGCCAAGGAGATCATCGAGACGGGCATCAACCTGATTGATCACCGCCGTGCGTGACTTGCTGCTCTCGCATTTGGGCTGACGGCTGACAACACTCCACCCCGGGTCCAGGTCGCCCGCTTCTCTTCGCTCCCTGCGACCCGTACTGGAACTTCGTCTGAGCCAATCTTCGCTTCGGTACTTCTGTCTAATCAGCGTCGTCACCGCCTCGAGAAGCAGCGCGCCTAAGCGGGCGATTTCTGCGACTTTCGCGGGCTCGAAGGAACGGGAGGAGGGTTTGGTGGTCTGAAACTTGGCTCTCCTTTCGACTCCAACGCTGTCGCCTCGGTGAAAGTACCACGCGAGTGTTTAGCCCATGCGACAACTGATCTGACGCCGTTCGAGCGAGTGATGCGGGCGCAATCGCTCGTCGACGTCGCCCGAGAGGGACTTGGCCATTCTCGACTTCGCTCGCCCATGTCCGTCCGCTTCCCGCTCGCGCAAAGCTGCCGGGCATGTCTCCGCAGCTCTCGACAAGCTCAATGGAGGCTGTCAGTGCTCCACCAACGCCCCTTCAGCGCAACGCCGCGAGGAGCGGACGCCGAAACCGCCTCATCAGCGAACCTCGCTTCGACGGGGTCTGCACCCGCGCCACAACCCTCCCGAGCGAGTTCACTGCCGCTCCCCTCTTCGCCACCATCGTCTGAAGCGACCGCGCACTCGAAGCTTGTCGAAGCGCGCGAGTTGGCGCAGAGACAGCTCCGACACCTCCTCGCGACTCTCGACTCGTCGGCGAGGAAGCAGGCGCAGGCGTTCTCGGCGGCTCTCAGGGCTCTCGAGATTGAAAGAAAGCTGAGGGAGGCGGGGGCGAAGATCAATCAGGCGACGGGGTACGAGGAGATTGAGCGGTTGCGGAACGGGGTAGCGGAGAAGGGTGTGTTCAGGTTGACGCGTCTGAAGTAGGCGTCTGCTCACCGTCTCTCGCACAGAACGAGCTCTCCTGGACGCCCGGGAACAAGCGATACTCCTCAAGCGCGACTACACCGAGCGCGTCAAGCTCCGCGCCGACTCGCAACGAGAAGTGAACGACTTGTTGCAGCGGAAACCGACCTGGAACGGGCCGGATGTATTGCGGTTCACGGAGCTCGTGCAGCAGGAGCACGAGAATGAGCGGGCAGAAGCGAAGGCGAAGGCGGAGATGGAGGCGGGGGAAGAGGCTGTCGAGCGCGGATTTTCTGGTGCGTTCGTTCGCTTCTTCACTGAGATGCAGTCCCTGAGACTCGCTTGATCTGTTTTTAGACCTGATGCAGGCGATTCTCGAGCGGTACCACGAGGAGCAGGTCTGGAGCGACAAGGTGCGTCCGCTTGTGGTCCTGGTCGTGCCTTCCTCGCTGATTACCGTGCTACCGCAGATCCGATCAATGTCGACCTACGGCTCTCTCGCAATCACCGGCCTGAACGTCCTCCTCTTCATCGTCACACTCCTGCTCATCGAGCCTTGGCGGCGACGACGGCTCGTGCAGAACGTCGAAGAACGGTTCGTTGCCCTACGCTGCAGCTTTCCTGACGCTTGCTGACGAGCTGTGTATCGCAGACTACGGACGAACTCGCAGCAAGGGCACGACGCAACGCAAGCCCAGCTCGAGACGCTCCAGCACCTCCTCCAGCAGACTCAAGCGAGCCTCGATGCCGTCGCCGCCACGACAGCCGGTATCGCCGCCCCTCCACCTGCCCCTCCTTCGCCCATTCCCGTGCCCGAGACGCCCTTCACGCCGGTGTTCGACTCGACCTCGCCTGAAGCAGTCGCTGCTGCCTCCTCTCCCGGTTCGACCGAGACGGGTCCCTCTTCGACAGCATCTCAGCAACCCCATAGTCGTGTCGTCGAGCAGGCGCTGGCCGCCATCGAGGGCCACGAGGTATGGGCGGCCGGCGCAGCAGGAGCAGTCGGCGGCATCGCTATCGCCGCGCTGGTCTCTCTCCTCGGCCGGTAGATCTCTTTCCATCGCATCTCTCGCATCGTCGCAACGCAGTCGCAATCGCAGCACCTTGTGGCGAGAGCGAGTGAGAAAATAGCAAAGTGTGCCGGCCGACGGTGGTTCCGCCGCTCCGCGACCAAGTCCGCGTCGACATTCCTGCCTTCGTCGCTCCCTCCGCTGCTTGTGTGACTGCTTCAACTGGTCGTGCTCGATGCTACACACATGACTGAAGCTTCCAGCGCCGCCATCGAGAGCCATGTCCGCCGCAGACGGCGGACCCAAGGAGCCTCTAACGAGCGAAGACGCGGTCAAGCGGGAGGCGGGGCTGACGGGCGGAGCGGTGACTGGGTCTGATGAGTCTGTCACGACTGCTGCGGAGGAGCAGGATGCCAGCAAGGACGTTGGCAAGAGCGAGGACCTCGAGAAGGACGAGGGCAACGGGGTCAAGGTCCGGCACAAATGGTGTGTCCTTGCTGTTTCTCTGCGCACAAGAGATGTCTCGGAAGGCTCACTTGTATCGCCCGGCAGGACCATCTTCGACCCGTTCAACTTCAAGCCGCCTCCTCCTCCTCCTGCGAGTATGGACGACGCCGAGACGATCCGGATCTCGCAGGCCAACTGGCTGTCCGAGTTCACCTTCTGTGGGTCCAGTGAACGTCTATCAATCCACGCTAAGCCGTCTTGTTGACCTTTCGCCCTTGCAGGGTGGCTGCAACCACTTCTCGTGCTGGGCTACAAGCGCGAACTCGAAGCTACAGACCTCCCCAAGATGGACGACACTCGAGAAGCCGGCCTGCTGGCCGACAAATTCGAAGCCAACTTTGCTCGGCGACGAAAGGACGTCGAAGACTGGAACCGCAGCCTCGATGACGGATCCTACTTCCCGTCCTCGCTGCAAAAGATGCGATGGCGAGCATCAGCTGCGCTAGGACTCGGGCGAGCAGACGGGCGGAGAGAAGTGGGCATGGCAATGGCTCTCTCGGACACGTTCTTCTGGTCGTTCTGGTCCGCCGGCGTTTACAAGGTTATCGGCGACGTGGCGCAGACGACCTCGCCTCTCGTCATGCGCCAGATCATCAAGCTCGTCCAGCAGTCGTACGCGGCGAAACAGGCGGGAGAGCCCCTCCCAGGAATCGGTCGTGGGATTGGCCTCGCAATCGGTCTCTTCCTCATGCAGCTGTGCGTTCGACGGTCGTCCCTCGAGACGCAGACGTCAGCTAACGGTCACCTTGCTCTTGCTTACGCAGCTTCATGTCCGTCTGCCAGAACAACACGTTCTCGCGAAGCGGTCAAGTCGGCGTGTTGGCTCGAGCGGCGTTGATCGCTGCGCTGTGTGCGTACAGTTGCCATGGCAGCGTCACAAAGGCTGACTCTTCGATCGGCAGATCGCAAGGCTTTCCGGATGAGCGGCAAGGCTCGCGTCGAGCACACGAACGCCAAGTTGACCTCGCACATCTCGACCTCGATGTCGCGCATCGAATGGAGCTCGACCTTCTTCCACTTCTCGTACACCTGCATCATTCAGCTCGTCGAGATCGTCGTCATCCTCCTCTGCACTATCGGCGTGACCAGCTTGGCAGGGGTCGGAATTGTTCTCCTCGCCATGTACGCTCTTCTCCCTTTCTGGGTCTTTCTCGCGTCGCTAACCGTCCTCTACGGCGCAGCCCGATGCAGACGTACGCCATGCGTAAGCTTTTCCAAGGACGCCGCAAGGTGCAGAAGCACACCGACGATCGCATCAAGTCCATCTCGGAGCTCCTCAGCGGCATCCGCGTCGTCAAGTTCTTCGCGTGGGAAGGTCCGATCGTCTCGAAGGTCGGGGAGTCGCGCAGGCGCGAGTTGGGCGGGATCCGAAAGCTCCTCACGATTCGAGCGGCGACGCAGGCGATGGCCATGAGTCTGCCTGTGCTCTCGTCCGTCCTCGTCTTCGCTGTCTACTCGCTCACCGGTCATTCTCAGGTGCGTCTCCCAACCCTTCGCATCAGCGTGATCCTGCTAACATCGTTCCGGCAGAACCCCGCCGAGATCTGGACCGCTCTTTCGCTCCTCAACCTTCTGCGACAACCGCTTATGAGTGCGTACTCTCCCGTCTTGCTTGAGACTTCACACTGACGGATCCTCCCCCGCAGTGCGTGCGTAAGGACCACCTCGTTTGCCCTCGTCTGACGCTGACCTCCGCGTGCGCAGTGCCCAACTCCCTCAGCACAATGACCGACGCCTACTCCGCCATGAAGAATCTCGTCCCATGCTTCATGGCCGATGAGCTACCCGAAGAGCTTTTCGTCCGCGACGACGAGGCCGACGTCGCGTTGCAAGTCAAAGACGCTACATTCGTCTGGGAGAGCTCGGCGCCGCCATCGTCTGAGAAGGTGGGCAAGGGCAAGGGTGGGAAGAAGGCGAAGAAGGGGGAGGAAGTGAAGAGCGAGAAGGGCACAGGTGCGGCGGACGAGCCGAGCAAGGTAGAGGACATCAACCTTGAGGTCCCGCGAGGCCAGCTTCTTTGCGTCGTTGGCAGCGTTGGGTGCGTGGCGGCCTTACTTCTGACGAGCCTGCGCCGATGCTAACTTGCGGCGCTGAGCAGATCTGGCAAGTCGTCGCTTCTCCAAGGCTGTATCGGCGAGATGCGACGAACCAGCGGCGACGTCGTCTTCGGCGGCAGCATCGCCTATTGCGCGCAGTCCGCCTGGATCATGAATACGACATTGCGAGCGAACATTCTCTTCGGTCGGCCTTTCGACGAGCAGCGGTACTGGGACTGCGTTCGCGCAGCCTGCCTGCTTGCCGACCTGGATCAGCTGCCTGGTGCGTCACCTCCTTCACACCACTATCTCTTGACCTTGGACGCCTTGCTGAAGGCGATGACCTGCAGCCGGCGACCAGACCGAGATTGGCGAGAAGGGCATCACCTTGTCCGGCGGGTGCGCTGCCTTTCGTTGACTTGTCTCGGCGGTGCAGCGCAACTGACGCTCGTCTCGGCTTCACAGTCAGCGACAGAGGGTTGCGATTGCCCGCACGCTGTACTACGACGCCGACATTGTGAGCCTCACCCAACTGCCGCAGCGAGAGTCTCGCCTTTTTACACTTTCCGCCCGCAGGTCCTCCTCGACGACCCGCTCAGCGCCGTCGACGCGCATGTCGGCGCACACATCTTCGAGCATGCCATTCAGGGCATGCTGAAGGACAAGACGCGGATTCTCGTCACGCACGCCGTCCACCTCCTCCCGAAGGCGGACGCCATCATCGTCATGGAGAACGGCCGCATCGCTGAGCGCGGCTCTTTTGACGAGCTGATGGCTGCCGGCGGACCGTTCTCGCGCTTTGCGCAGGAGTACGGCGTCGCTGCGGCTGCAGACGCCTCGAGCGATGTCAAGGCGCCGGCAACCGACGGCGCGGCACAATACGCACCGAAGGGCAAGGCGTCCAATCGACCGCTCATGCAGAAGGAGGAGCAGGCGAGCGGCAGCGTCGGCTGGAGAACCTGGAAGTCGTATTTCAAGGCCGCTGATGGCTACTACACCGTCCCTCTCGTCCTCGGTTCTCTCGTTCTTATGAGCGCTGGCCAGAGTACGTCAGGACCGTTCCCACTGCCTCGTACAGGCGACCGCTTCGTGCGGCCGCGCTCGCGGAGATTCGTCGCTGACGCCTTCTCACCCAGTTTTGTCACAGTTCGCCCTCACCTGGTGGCAAGAAGGCAAGTTCGGGCTCGGGCAGAACCAGTTCATCGGTCTTTACGCCGGTCTCGGCATCTCCAGCGCCATCTTCACCTTCGTCCTCGGCGCCGCAACGATCTGGTTCGGCACAACTGCCGCACGCAATCTGCACCACATGGCGCTCGAGAAGGTGCGCTCGCTCTGCCTGCCTCTTATCAACGTCGCTGATCCCTCAGGCGCAGGTCACGCAAGCTCCGATGAGTTTCTTCGACACGACGCCGCTGGGCCGCCTCATGAACCGATTCTCGTGCGTTCGCCATTCCTTCCTCACGACCTACCCCGGCGAGACTGACTTTTTCCGCGCTTCTCCACTCGCAGCAAGGATACCGACTCGATCGACAACCGCCTCAACGACTCGCTCAGGATGTGCTTGGCGACCGTCGCGCAGAGTTCGTCCCCTCTTCCGCGCTCGTTTGACCAGTTCGCTCACTCAGAAGGCTGCAGTCGGCGCTTCGATCATCGTCATTGCGATCGTCTACCCCTACTTCCTCATCCCGACGGCCTTCGTGCTCGCGCTCTTTGTCATGACCTCTAACTTCTGTGAGTGTTCTTTCTGCTGTCTTCGGCCATCTTGATGCTGACGACCCCACGTCCAGACCGCGCCTCTGCCCGCACGATCAAGCGCCACGACAACGTCTTGCGGTCGTTCCTCTACGCCTGGTTCGGAGAATCGCTAACCGGACTCAGCACGATTCGGGCGTTCGGCGAGAAAGAGCGGTTCCTGCGCGGGAATGAGAAGTTCATTGACTTGGAGAACCGGTACGTTGGCTCTCTTCCTTCCTCAGGTTTTGCGAACTGTTCTGACGATGCCGTTTCGCAGGGCCTGGTTCTTGACGGTCTGTAATCAGCGATGGCTCGCCATCCGTGTCGACGCCTGGGGCGCCCTCCTCGTCTTGATTGTCGCGCTCGTCGCCGTCGGCGAGCGAACGACGATTCCCTCCTCCAAGACGGGCTTGATCCTTGCGTGAGTCATTATCTCGCCTTTCCCACGAAACGCTCAGAACTGATGCCCATGGTGCCAGCGTCACGCTCGCCATGCAAGCCTCTATCGCCATGCTCATCCGCCAGACCGCCGAAGTCGAGAACAACATGTCGTCGATCGAGCGCTTCGAATGGTACGCGAAGAGTCTGCCGCAAGAAGCCCCCGCCATCATCAAGGATACCGCACCTCCTACGACTTGGCCTCATCAAGGCGCGGTCACTTTCCGCGATGTCGAAATTCGCTACCGCTTGGAGCTGCCGTCCGTCGTCCGCAACTTCAATCTCCAGATCCAAGGCGGCGAAAAGGTCGGCGTCGTCGGCAGGACAGGTGCAGGTGTGTGCAGATTGTGCAGACCTGTTGAGCAGTACTGACCAGGAGTATCTCGCTTCACAGGGAAGTCAACGCTCACCCAGGCGCTTTTCCGCATCCTTGAGACATACAAGGGCACCATCGAGATCGACGGGCTCGACATCAGCAAGCTCGGCTTGACGCAGTTGCGCGAGCGCCTTGCGATCATCCCGCAGGAACCTCTCCTCTTCAGCGGCACCTTGCGGTTCGTGGCGCTCTCCTTCCTCTTCCTCCTTTTCGAACGCTCATTCAGCACGTCCTTACAGATCCAACCTCGATCCCTTCGGCCTTTACGACGATGCTCGACTATACGACGCACTCCGCCGGTCGTGGCTCGTCGATCGAACAGCCGGAGCAGACGGGAGCGGGCAGGTCTCTCGCTTCACGCTCGACACGCGCGTTGAGGACGAGGGAGCCAACATGTGCGTTTCCGCAGGCTGTTCAGAGCGGACCGCGTCGCTGAGTCCCGATTTTCAGGTCACTTGGCGAGAGAAGCCTCGTCTCGCTCGCCCGTGCGCTCGTCAGGGACGCCAAAGTCATCGCTCTTGAGTGAGTTGACTCTGAATCCCTGGGATTGGCTTTGTTGGGGGCTGACGAGGCTCCCGGCAACACAGCGAAGCAACCGCGAGCGTCGACCTCGAGACAGACGCCAAGGTGCAGGCCACGATCCGCAGCGAATTCAAGGATAAGACGCTCCTCATCATCGCTCACCGCATCTCCACCATCGTCGGCTGCGACAAGATCCTCGTTATGGACCGCGGCGAGATCCAGTCGTTCGCGAACCCGCTCGAGCTGTTCGACCTAGGCGACGGCATCTTCCACTCGCTTTGCGTGCAGTCGAGCATCTCGCGCGAGGATATCGTCAAGGCGCAGGCGGACCGGTAGAGTTGAGCTGTACCACTTTCTAGAGGACCCCATCCCGAGACAATCATGTTGTGCAAGATTTCGTTACAAAGTTTGCGTTCTGTACAACCGCGAGGCGCATGTAGGATCTGCGAAGCCGAGGAGACGTCAGTCTGGAACGAACGGGGCGCAATCAGCAGGATGGAAACGACGAACCTCTACAGTCCGCCAACGGCGACGAGCTTGATGTTCTGCCAGTCTTGCAGACCGTATTTTGAGCCTGTATTAGCGATGCGCAGGTGCACGAGAGAGCAAAGAGGATGGTCAGGAAGCGCTTGGGGGGCGAGAGAAGGGAAGGAAGAGGACGGAGAACGCACCCTCCCTTCCGAAGCCGGACTCCTTGATACCGCCGAAGGGAATCGCCGCCTGCGAGATAACGCCAGTGTTCGCGCCGACCTGTACGAGCGGACGAGTGAGCGGGACGAGGAAGAAGGCGGGGAGCAGGAGACGCACCATTCCGACCTCGAGCGCCGCGGCGACGCGGTACAGGCGCGCGATGTTCTCGGTGAAGAAGTAGCTGTAGCATGTGCCTGTTAGCGAGTCGACAAGTATCGGGCATGTGCGCACGCACCCAGCAAGTCCGACCTCGGTGTTGTTGGCCATCTCAACCGCCTCCTCCTCGGTCTTGAAGCGGTACAGCGCCGCAAGCGGACCGAACGTCTCCTCGTTGTCAATCGCGCAGCTTTGAACGTCCGCAAGAACAGTCGGCTCGAAAAAGTATCCGGGGACGTCGAGCTTCTTTCCTCCAACGACGACCTTGGCGCCCTTCGAGACGGCATCGTCGACGTGCTGCTGGACCTTGTTGACCGCCGCCTCGTGGATCAACGGACCGTGCGTGATGCCGTCCTTGACGCCCTCGCCGACCTTGAACTTGCGCACGGCGTCGGCGAGCTTTTGGGAGAACTTGTCGAAGACGGCGTCGTGGACGAGGATGCGGTTCGCGCAGACGCAGGTCTGGCCGGATTGACTGTTGAAGGAGCTCGTTAGTGATCAAAGGAGATTGCGAGGCGAAGAGGCGGAACGCACCGGAACTTGCAAGCGATGACACCGTTGACCGCCTTGTCGAGGTCAGCGTCTTCGAAGAGGATGAACGGCGCGTTACCGCCCAGCTCAAACGAAAGCTTCTTAAGCGTTCCCGACGCCTGCTTCATCAAGATCTTTCCGACGCGGGTCGAGCCGGTGAACGAGAGCTTGTGAATGAGCGGGTTCTCGCAGAGCTCCTTTCCAACGTCGGGAGTGTGCTTCTGCGTCAAGACGACGTTGACGACGCCGTCGGGAACGCCGGCTTGTCGGCAGATCTCGGCGATGGCAAGGACCGAGTAGGGAGTCTCGGCGGGGGCCTTCATGACGACCGTGTTGCCGGCAGCGAGCGCAGCTGCGAGCTTGCGAGTGACCATGGCGTTGGGGAACTGTGGAGAAGCGGAGTGAGCGGTCGCAGCAAAGGGGGCAGAAGCAGGAAGAGCCTCCGTACGTTCCAAGGCGTGACTGAGGGAGTGCAAAGTCAGCCTCGGGCGGGCGTCTTCGAAGGTGAGGCGTATTACTCACTGATAGCGCAGACACCGATAGGCTGCTTGAGCGTCATGTTCTGGACGCCCTTGACCGCCGAAGGAATCACGTCGCCGTAGTTGCGGACAGCCTCGCCCGCGAACCAGGTGAAGTAGCTCGCTGCAGCCAAGATGCGTCAGTACAACCAAAGTTGGACGAAGAAGGGCAGGCACGCACCGCCGTAGGTAACCTCTCCTCGCGCATCCGCCAGAGGCTTTCCGTTCTCCGCCGTGATGATCTGTTCGAGCGGAATGTCAGCCTCGCTCAGCTCGTAAGCCTGCCGAGGCACACACCTGTGCCAGATCCTCCGAATTTTCGGTCATGATCCTGCGAAAGAGAATCGCCTCGTCAGGTGGGGAAACCTCGAGGTGGAGGTGCGAACGAGACGGACTGGAAGATCTTGTTGAGGATGGCAGCGCGCTCGGTCTCGGTCGTCTTGCGCCAGGACTTGAGCGCCTCGTGAGCGACCTTGACCGCCTCCTTGGTGTCCTCCACCGTCATCTCGGGGAGGGTGCCGAGGACCTGTCCGTTACCAGGGTCTGCGGGAGGGCGATGAGCGCTCGTCCGGGATGCGCAGGCAACTCCAAGAAACGCACTGATGACCTCGAACGTGCCATCGTTTGCCCCAGCGGTCCACTTTCCGTTGACAAAGCCTCCCTTTTCGATCCAGAGGCTCGGGTTCTTGAGCTGCGGGCACGGCAGTGAGCGCCTGGCCGGGGTCTCGGCAGCCTCGTGCACGAGTCCGTGTACCCACCTTGAGCGGCGCAGCCTTGTTCGATGCCATTCTGCGCTGTTGAGTCGAGATGATGCGGGATGGGGCGAGTGAGCGCGGGATGGCGGCGGGGCAGCGGGCAGCGAGGCGAGTGGCGGGCGAGCGAGTCAGAGAGCGGGCAGAGTGAGCGATGCAGACACGCAGCATACGAGCACGGAGAGCGAGAGAGTGGGAGACGACGAGCGGACGAGCAACTTTGGCAGGAGGCAGCGCTTCGGCGGCGGACAAACTGGCGCAAATGACCCGTCGGGTGCGGGGTAGACGCGGAGAAGAGATCTTTTCCGTTAGCGAGCCGACGAAGCGACCATTGCCGCCGCAGAAGGACGAGAGCCGCTCGACAGCAGCGAGTTCTTCGTGTCGAAGACGAGGCAATGTTGCATGTTCCCTATGTACAGAGGGGCTGGCAGGGTAGAGTGGACGTCTGGGTCGACCGCTGGAACGTTGACGGAGGAAGGAACGTCGTCGGAGGCGGAAGAAGCGAGGTGGAAGCGGGTCGAGGAGGAGAAGGAGGGGCGAATCTGCATCGCGGGCGGCTCGGTTGTCAGCGGGTGCCGCGACTCACGGTGCAGGGGATAGCGCAGTCGAAGCACATGCAGGGGAATGCAGGGAACGCACTCGTGAGCCCTCGACTCCCTCCTCGTCGCCGCGACCTTCCTAACATCTCGCAGCCCTCTCCTTCCCGCGCACGTACTGAAGCACGCTTGGCGTCGAGTAGAGCACTCCGCCCGTCCAGTACTGCAGACTGCGCTCCGTCTGCTTGAGCATCGACTCGTTCGCCGGTCTACCCTCCTCACCCTCCTTCAGCGGCCACAATGACAGGACGAAGTTGCCCCAGGTCATGTTCTTTGGCGGTTCGTCATTTGACCAGAACTTGGTGCACCAGCCGCCAGGAGTGTAGAACCCCGTGGCAAGGTAGCCAGTCTTCGTGATTATCTGGAAGCCGGCGTCGCCAGTCGACACTGTACAGAGAGCGAGTTAGCTCTCGAACACACGGAGTTGAGGAGAGCGAGGAATGGCGACGCACAGCCCGTCTCCTGGTCGAAGAAGCAAAAGTCGAGAGAACCGCTCGCCTCCGCTTTTACGCAACGTTGCCAGTCGACAACGACGTCGAGCGTGCCGGGGTGCATCCTGCCGGTGACGAAGTAGAGGACGACGTTGCCGCCGCTCCAGAGGAAGGGCTGGAAGAGGCGGAAGAACATTTCGACGCTCTCGCGGCTGTCGAGGCGAGGAGTTTCAGCTGCGTCTCGCGAAACGAGTAGCGCGGACTCACTGGCCGCACGGCGGAGCCATGGTAAACAACCCGCCCTTTCCCTCGATGCAAATCGTGGCGAGCCGCCGCATCCAGTCGTCGGCAGGCTGGCCTGGCAACTCCATCCCGAAAGGTTGCTCGCGCCTCGGCTGTTCCGGGAGACGAGTTCGTCAGCGAAATCTAGATGCTGACAGCGAGCGCAGACTCACAGGAGTAGGCGCATCGCGGATGATGTCCTTGACGAGTCCGAGAAAGCCATCGTCGCCGTCTCTCTTGAGGCGCAGCAGGACAGCGTTTGCCGGGTCTGCCTCGTAGGCAACCTTCTCCTCATCGTAGAACGGGTGGTGTTGAGCGGGTGACATCCTAGCCGAGAGAGCGTGGCAGGAGGAGAAGGGAGAGAATCCGACCGCAGGATGTCCGGACCGTCCGCGGAGCGCAAGCTTTGCTGCCGCGAAGCAGCTCGCGCGCCTTTGCGGCCAGCAACGAAATTCGAGGCCGAAAGGAGCACCAAGAGCACGAGAGGTCAGGCGCTGAGGCGCTGAAAGCGGGTTGCGAAGGTTCGCCTCTCGCATCTTTCTGCTCGACAGCTTGCCGATGACCTGGCGTGTTGACTGTCGCCTTGCAGCACAGCAGCTGCAAGTTGACGATGTACGAGAAGGGAAGACCGGACGGATGAACGTTATGGAGCGAGGTGGGACGAAGTTTGGTCGAGACGCAGGTGAGTGGGTCGACGTGCGTTGGCGAGGTGGGCCTCAGTAGTCAAAAGGAATTGCTTCAACTCCGCGAGACTGGACGGCAGCTGGGGACCGTGTTCGCAGTTGTTTGTGGAGGAAGAACGCACCTCAGCAACTTCCCTCTTCCTGACTCCCTCCCTGACTCGTCTGTCCTCCTCAACAACTCGCGCTCGCCTCCTTTGCGCGGACATACTTGAGCACACTCGGCGTCGGGAAAAGCGCCGTGCGCGCCCAGTGCTTGACGTGACCCGTGATCTCCTCAAGTTCCTCGTCGACAAGCTTTCTCGTCTCCTCAGACGCCGCCTTCAGTGGCCTGGATCCGAGCGATAGATTGCCGAACGTCATGTTCTTCGGCGGTTCGTCCTTCGACCAAAACTTGGTGCACCAGCCACCGGGAGTGTAAAAGCCCGAAAAGAAGTAGCCCGTCTTCGTGACGATCTGGAAGAAGCCCGCGTCGCCCGTCGACACTGTCCGTGCCGCGTCAGCTTCGGAGCACTACTTCAGCGACGAGAATGTGGCACGCACATCCTCTCTCCTGGTCGAAGAAGGCAAAGTCGAGCGAGCCGCTCGTCTCCGTCTGCACACGCTGCTGCCACGACAGCACCGAGTCAAGCGTGCCGGGGTGCATCCTGCCCGTGACGAAGAAGAGGACGATATGTCCTCCCTTCCCAAGGAACGGCTCGAAGAGGCGGAAGAACATCTCGACACTCTCGCGGCTGACGAGGTGAGAAGTGTCAGCTGCATCTCACCAAATAGAGAGGGCCGACTCACTGGCCGCCCGGCGGAGCCATAATGAACAAACCGCCATTTCCCTCTATGCTGGCCTCGGCGAGCTTTTTCATCCAGTCGTCGGCAGGGTCGCCAACATGGCTCCATCCCGTGCCATCGAACCGGAGAGGTGTCTACCCGAGCATGTGTCAGTGACTGCAGCCAGAACGAAGAGCAGTACGAAGAGGGCGGACGGCGTACCGGGTCTGGCGCATCGCGGATAATGTCCCGAGCAAGGCCTGCCAGTCCCTCGTTGTCCTTGGCCAGAGCCAACAGGACTGTTCGCCGGGTCCTGCTCAAAGGCGGCCTTCTCCTGGTCGTAGAAGGGGTGACCCTGAATCGTAGCCATCGCAAAGCCGAGCGAGAGCGAAGAGGAGAAGGAAGAGAGACGCAAGGCCCAACCGCAAGTGATCCCGGAGCATCCGCGGATCATACAAGAGGCGCTCGAGCGTTGTTGACGGTGAGCGCGCAAGTAAACAGACGAGGCGAATGCTAAGGTGAGCGGCGGTCGGATTGCGGTCATGCCAGCTCGACAATCTTGGGTTTCGACCCGTCCTCCTGATCCAGTTCCTGAGCCTGCACGTCCTCCTTCGTCTTCGCCAAGTCCTCCTTTCGTCGCTCGACGGCCTTCTCTCGCTCCTCCTCCTCTGCCTCCCTCCGCTTCGCCTCACGTTCCGCCAGTTCCGCCAGCGCATCAGCCGCCTGCACTACCTCGTTGCCCGTCGAATACAGGAACGACGCGTAGAACAGCAGCTTGGCCGAGGCGAGCGTGCACTGCTGTTTCTCGCGCTTCGAGAGTGGAGTCGTCGTGCTTGGTCGTGCGATGAGGGGCTTCGAGACGGTTGGACCGCTAGAGGGACTTTGTGCGCCGTTCGAGGGTTGGGAAGTGGCAACGGCGGTAGAGAAGAGGTGATGTAGGTCGGAGATGGAGGCGAGGGCGCGTGCGAGGGCGTGCGATGCGAGTGGCGAGGAGGTGGAAGAGGAGATGGCGGCGATGGGAGCGGGGCGCAAGAGCTGGGCGACGTCGTGCAGCAAGAGCGCAACGAGCGCAGGTGACATGCCCTGTAGATACAAGCATGAATATTCGCCAAGACGAGGCGAGGATGGGGACGCACCTGCGGTTCTCGCGCTGCCACAGACTCGAAGGCTTCGTCAAGATTGCTGAATGTCGAGGTTGATCGCTCGACGAGGAAGGGCAAAAGCTGTGCGAGCAGCTGGATCGCGGTCGCTCGCTCAGGCGACCGTTCGGGCAGGGAGGAGAAGGAGGCGAGAGAGAAGGTGCGCAGGGTGAAGGCGTAGGCGAATCTGCGGAGTTGCAAGGTCAGGCCGGTCGCGCACCTTGCACCGATGAGACTCACAGGACAGAGACAACGTTGAAGAGCAAGTTCGGGTTGGCGATGACCTTTCCGTCGGGCCCGACCTTGAGCGCCGGCAACTTGTCCGCCGCGACGGGAGATGGCCGCACATCCTCGTCCGCTTGGTCATTCTCGTCTTCCGCATCCGCCGCGTCGCCACCTTCTGCTTTCCTGCTTGCCTCGAGCATCTCCTTGAGCAGCTTCGCTTCTTGCTCGACGATCCACCACGGCTCGTCGCCCTCAAACTCCTCCTCAACCAGCTTGTTCACCCGGTTCGGGTCTTGCAGAGTCGCCTCGAACGCCGCTTGCTGTTCTGGCGTGAGGAAGGAGAGGAGCTGTTCTGACGGGAAGGCGTCTGTAGGGAGGAAAGGGTCAGCTCGCAGGGCTTTGCGATGAATGCGGGCGAACGCACCAAGGTCGAGTCCCGCTATCCGCTCCTCCAACTCCTTGCGTTCCTTCTTTCGCTTCTCCGCATCGAATCCCGCCTCTTCATCCCCCGAGGCGGCCCGCTGGATCTCCTCGAGTTCCTTCTGCTGCTCCTCGAACTGCCGCAAGAGGTCCAGCATCTTCTTCTTCTCGTCTCCGCCGTTCTGCTGCTCGGCGTTGAGGTCGTCCTTGAGCGACTTCTGCGCAAAGGAATCGGTGCAGGCTGCATGTTCGGGCGATCGAAAGCAGGCGAGCGAGCAGTAGGGGAGGTTGCAGTTCGGGCAGGTGTAGCGGCTGATCTGCTTGTGGCATCTGTAGGTAGGAGCAATACAAGCTGATCAGGACCTGGTTCGGCGCGTCTCGACATGGTGAGCGTCGCGCGAAGCCGTTGAGAGATGAGGAAGAGAATGGCGACTCACATGCCGCAGGGTGGCGAGGCGGCTGTCGAGACGATGGGCGGTCGCTTTCTGCGCGGTTCAGCATCCTTGGCGCGCGGCAGACGCAGCTGCATCGTAAAGCGAGCGAAGTGTTCGAGCGAAAGGAAGGTCTTCACTCGACCAGCGACTCCATGCTGCCTCGACAACACTCTGAGCCGTCGCTGGCTGCCTGGCTGTGCTCCTACAACCCCAAGGCTCGCGTAGACTCGCTTGAACGGACGCTCGCCGGTGACGACGACTTGCTGCTCGCGCTCGAGGCGCTTCGGGTTAGGGTGGGAACAACGGGTCATGATGGGCACGCAGAGCTGGACGAAGGCCGCAGAAAGGTACGTCTATTGCCTGTGGCTGCCTGCGACTCCCCAATAAGGGCGGAACGAGGCGCAGGCGGTCGTAGTGGTCTCTTCTTGCTCGGGGAGGCTCCCTCGGTCCCCTCGAAGCGCTTCTCACGGCCCGGGATTCGCTGACCCACCTTCGGCTGACAGATTGAGACCCTCCGCTCATCCCTGAACTCGCTCACGGCCCACATGACGCACCTCACCGACCGATTAGCCGCTTCCGAAGCTGCTCTCGCCTCTGCAACCCGGCAGACTGAGCGCACGTCGGCCCAGCACGCCGAAGAAGTTGCCTCTTTGCGAGCGCTATGTACTGTGTGGGAAGGTAGATGGCGGCAGGAACAGTGTTTGAGGGAGGAGGCGGAGGGACAGCTTGCTCGGGTGGTTGGAGCTGAAGGCTTAAATACCCATGCAGCCCGGCGGATCACGACTGTACGGCTGGCATCGGCACGTAGTGTGTACTGATCTTACCTTCACGCCCACGTCCAGAAATGCGCTGACTCGGCGCATCGCAGCTCCACGCCGCGCACACGAACGCCGCGAATCGGGTGCTTCCGCATCCTCCGAAGCCAGCTCCTACCGCTTGTCCCGCCAATCACCCGCTGTACTGTCGCCCAGTCGACCCGAGAAGCTCAAGACGCAAAGTCGAGCGCTGATTGCTCAACTTACGCACGACTTGCGAACTTCTGCTCACGAGCATGCACGTGCTCTGACGGAGAAGGACGACCAGGCGCGCCAGCTCCTTCGATCACGCTCGTTGTTGCCTCGCTAATGCTGCAAGTGGCCACGCTCAGATTGCTTCGCTCACTGCCGACCTCGCCGTCCGTCGCGACGAGCTTTCCAACCTCTACGCCTCGCTCGACTCGCTACTTCCGCTGCGGGGGAACGGCGCTGTTATTGCTAGCACCGCTGTGTCCGCTGGTACGCTCGTGATCGTGCACTCATCCAACTGGTCCCTACGCTCCCGGTCACTGAATTCGGCGCAGTTCTCTCAGGCCCGCCTGACACAGCCGCGCCGGGTCGAATGGTACACGACGACGAGACGCTCAAGCTGGAGGAGGAAGTGCGGGCACTCGAGGAGGAGGTGCGCCAAGATACCAAGCTTGTTGGCTTTCCGCTGACATTGCTACACTAGATCGCTCGCCTCGATGGCAGCGGAGGGCGAGGCGAGCAGGACAATGCGTCGACGCTGAGCGTGGCACCGACGAACGGCTCGGCGCAGGACGGGGCGGAGGAAGGGTCCGTCGCAGCTCCGTCTTGTCCGGCGTCGACTGCTGACAGTCTTCCCATGCAGCTTGGCTGAACAGCAAGCCCGTAACGTCATCAAGGAGCTTGAACGCCAGCTTGTTGTGACAGAAATGAGGCTGAGGGAGGTCGAGAACGAGCGAAGTCAACTGCGACGATTGCTGGAAGACGTGCGCTAGACTTCTTCCGAGCTCCGCATCATATCTGACGATCACGGCCGAACAGCATGCTGCAGGTCTCGCGAGGAACGTTCCCGCGACAGAACTTGCCGAACGGGTCCAGCGAGCAGAGGCTGAACGGGATCGGTCAGTCCTCATGTCGTCGCATCTTCGCTTGTCTGCGCTAACGATTTTGCATTGCCCAGGCTTGCCGCACTGCTTGCGACTTCCGAGGAAGAATCGCAGTCCCTCCAAGCCCAGCTCGCCGCTACACATCAATCGCTCGACACGCTCTCCGCCCGAGTCCGCCGTAAGCTCGTCGAGCAGAAGACGCGCTTAGAAGAAGCTCAGCAACAGATTGCACGGCTGTCGGATGAGCTACGGCGAAGCGAGCGGGAGAGACAGTATCTCGACGACTGGATCAGGCGTAACAGTCGTAAGGAACGGAGTCGACATCATCCAGAGCGTCGAGCGGCAGAAAATAGTCCAGAAGACGGCTCAGGAGGGGCAATTAGCGTAGACTGAGCGTTGTTGTTCACCTCGCTTGTGCACCTTTTCAGGCGTGTCGAGAGGGAGGGGAAGTGAACGCCCGGCTACAAGCCCGGCTGCGTGGTATTGCTGTAAGGGCCTGCAACATCGTCACCTAAACGCTGCCCCTGTCCCCAGGTGTGTCCTGCTCCTTGCTGTCCGTGTCCGCCTCGTGGTGCAATTCCTTGTCCACCACGACCTGCGTACCCTCCGCGCCAACTTTGCTGCGGTTAAGAGCCATATCCAGCCTGCCCCGCACCGAACGGCACTGACCCCGCACCGTAAGCAGCTGGATTCGACCCATAGCCTTGCCAGCCTCCTCCCGCTGAGTAGCCTGCTCCACGTCCTGAGCCGTAGTACCCGTATCCGCCACCAGGTGATTGCTGATACTGCGCACCCTGCGAAAAGCCCCCTCGCTGCCCGTACGTTGCACGCGGCGGTGGACGCCATGTCCCGTCATCGACGAAGCCGTCAGGCCGTCTGTACGGTTCTCGAGGCCGAGGTTGTCTTTGTTGTCGAGCGGAGGGATTCAGTGTAGATGCGTGAAGTAGGTCGAGGAGGGATTGGATGAGAGCGGCGTCGACTTCGGCGGGCGGAGGAAGGGGTGGAAGGGTAATGATGCGGTCGAAGCCCTGCAAGTGACATCAGATCAGCCAGAGCGACAGCGAAAGGCTGAGGCTCTCAACATACCTCGCCGAGCGTCGGTTCTTGCCAAAGCGAGGAGAACTTGTCAAGCAGTTGGACCGCAAGGTCGGGATTGTCGATAGTAGGGTGGTCTTGCCGGACGAGCAGGCGTTCCCGGCAGTCCTGGCGACGGGCAGTTAAGTTCAACCAACACTCAACAGAAGAGACATCACACGAAAAACGCACCTGCTTGCTCGTGCCCATGACCATGCAGCCAACTTCGACATCCGGGAACTCGCTCGCGATTTCCACCCAAGTCCTCCTCTGCCCGGCGTCAAAGTTCTGCCGGTCGACGAGTACAGAGTATCCCTGCATCCGAACATGTCAGCAGGCGGTTCCGTGACCTGTAGACGGCAGAAAGGGAGGCCCACCTCGCCAAGCCTCGTTCGAACCATGTTCTCGCAAGTCCTCCGGTCTCCCAGGTCGTCCTGGTTGACTCGCACCCATCCCTATAGTTCCATGGGAGTTATCAGCTGTCGCTCCAGCCCGTCCGACCTGTTCACCGGCAGGACTCACCTTCATCAGTTGTTCCCACCGTTGGGAGAGTGTGGACTTTCCCGACCCGACTACGCCGGCCAGCACGATCAGTTCCTGCCTGTGAGGCAGAGAAGCGCCTTCCTCAGCCATCGCAAGCGTGTCAGCGGGTGACAAGGCGGAGGTGAACTCGCGGGTTGACCTTCCACCGCTCGCTTGCTCCCGCTCACCTCGCTGCGATGGCTGATCTCTGGCTGAAGGGCGACTACCCTATCGGACCGTTTCCTCATCCGCCCATCGAGCAGGCGGTGGCAGATGTCCTAGCCAAAGCCCCGTGGAGCGGATTCTCGACGGGGGACGTAGGCTTCAGACACGACTTCGTCGACCGGCCAGAAGGTGCGTACGATCTGCACAGCACTATCAAACCCCTGCTGACCCGCTCGAGGCGTACACAGCCGGAACTGCCTTCCTCGCCCTCCTTCAACCCCCACCTCGACCTGCTCCCCCAGACGGCTTGCGCTACCTCTACGATGGACCGACAGAACGACGCACAGTCTCTCAGCACACCGTCACCTGCCCGACGAATGTCAACACGCCGACGCAGAACTCGGCAATGCAGGTCGAGCTGGAATGCTTCACGGCGTTTTGCGGACACCTGCCGCCGCGAGACCAGCCATACCCGCCAAACTCGCCCGAACTGCGGTTGACGAGGTTTAGGAAGAGGTGGCGGATCACGAACGGGCAGTATCCGACGTTGTGGTTCTGCTATTGGGGTCAGGATCAGAGCGGCGGAGCAGGTCAAGGACCTGCGCCGAACGCACCGGCTGGTTGGGATTCGATGCCCGCACGGCAGTATCCTCTTCAGCGGCCACCGAACGTACCGAGCAATCCCATCTACCCCTTCCCCAGCCCGAACCGCCCTCCGCCTTCCGCTCAGCCCGGCATGCCCGGTACTCCCCAGAACGCTCGACCTCCTCAGAACTACAGCACGCCTCAGACGCCCTTCACTACGACGCCGGCGAGCGGTCTCGCCCGTCAACAACAGCTCGCAGCGCTGCAGAACCAAGCGGCACTCGGTCTCTCGACGTCGAACCCGACTCTCGAGGCACGACAGCAGCAGTTCCAGGCGCAGCAGCAGGCGATGGCGGCACAACAAGCACTGGCCGCGCAGCAAGCCCGAGCAGGGTATCCAGATCCTCGACTTGCGCAAGGGTATCCGGCCGGCATGACGCCTCAGCAGCAGCTGCAGGCGCAACAGGCCTTCCTGCTTGCGCAACAACAGCGCCAGCACCAGCAACAAGCAGTACCCTCCACGCCAGCAGATGCGCAGGCTCAGGCTGCTCGAGCCGCAGCACACGCCCAGGCAATCGCCGCTCGAACACAGCGCAAAGTGTCGGGGTCCGCCCCTTCCGCTGTACAGCCTGCCGCTGTCGCGTCGTCGTCACGAGATCAGGACGACACCGCCCCTCCCACCGACATCCTCGACCACCTCACCCCTCGCCAACTCGCGATTCACCGCTACGCGCACAACCACGACATCCTCGCTCCCATCTTCGACCCCTGGCCTACTTCGTCCATCCTGTCCGGCGAGCCTCGGCAGCGGGAAGTCGAAGAGATTCTGGCGACTACGGGCGTCTCGTCGCGGTCTGGCGAACCGAGAGTTGGCGCTGTACCTGGGCTCGGACGAGACGGCGGCCTCGCCGTGCTCGCAACGAGTGCAGCGCGCATCTCAGCTTTCGCTGCGCTCGGGAAGGAGCCGGAGAAGGCGCGGTTGCCGCTTGAGGAACGGAGGAACCAGCTGCAGAAGATGCTCGAGAGCATTGAGGGAAGCATCCAGCGGATGGAGCAGCGGCATCAGGAGAAGGTTGCGCAGATCAAGGAGGGCCCGAAGGCGTAGCATCTTGTCCCCACTCTTCCAGCAGGAGAATCCGTTCGCCCGCAATACTGTTGCCTTAGTCTCGCATCCCAACGGTGCCATTCTACATCCCCGGCGGTGCCGGTAACGCGAGATGCCCTGTCCCTGACTGACCGCGCTCGATAGCCTGCAGTTCTTGCGCCCGGTCGAATGCCTCCTCCCGCTTCATCTGCTGCACGCGCTTCCTGATCGCCTCTCGATTCTCGTGCCCCCTCGTCTGCGCCTCCAGCCGCGCCCGCTGCAGGTTCGCCGCGGCGTCCTGATGTTTCTTGTCGTAGACCATTGGCATCCACCCATTCGACGACTTGCCCGTCTCGCTCAGCCGCTTCCCATCGTCGCCCGGCGCAAACGCATCAACGCCGTCGGGTACAGACGGCACGGCGTACCACGCCGAGAGGGGCGTCATGAAGAGTGTGAAGCTGGCGAGGGCGAGAAAAACGAATCCGTTCTTGCCGAACACGCCTTGACCTTCCCATCCTGCTGCCCGGCCGTTCGCCGCCATCCCGTCTCGATAGCTGGTGTAGAACGGGTTGTCCTCGGGTCGGAAGTGCGGGTTGTACGGGTCGGTCCAGGTCCAGTGATCGTACGTTCCGGCGTAGCGAGCGCTACTGCTCATTGGCCGACCTCGACGGAAGCTGTACTCCGGAGACGACGATGACCAGGGAGATGCACTCGTCTTTGCGCCGGCCGTCGCGCCCCAGCCGAACCCTGACCGAAGGTAAGCTGCCCGTCGATTCGGATCCGAGAGCAGCTCGTATGCCGCAACAATCTGCTTGAACTCGTGATCGTCGTCCTTCGCTCGCCCTTTCCCCTTTCTCGACGAAGACGAAGACGAGGCAACGGCAGCAGCGGCGCGGCGGTCGGGGTGGTAGAGTTTGACGAGTTCGAGGTACCTCTGCGGAGGAACAAGTCCGTCAACTCCGTCTCCTCGTCACGCTCGACGAACGCCGCAAGCTCACTCCCTTGATCTCCTTCGCCGTCAAAGCCTTGTTGGGCGCGAAGTGGAAGATCTCGAACGGCGAGGGATTCGACTTGGTGGGGAAGGGTAAAGGGTTCGGCGGATCCTCCGCGACGGTCGCACGAGCCGCGCTAGTCGACGCGAACGAGCGGGATGGACATGCGGATGGTCGAAAGGACGCCGGATGCTGTGAGGGAGTACCGATGGTCCGGGGACGAGGGCGAGGCGATGAGGCGGCGTCAAGGGACGGGACAGCGTTGGAAGGCCGCAGCGGTGGGTGTAGCGACGCAGCGGGTAGTCTGCTGCACGCACAGCAAGCGAAAGAGCGTGGCATCGCAGCGAGACGACGAGGAAGGAAGCGAACCCCCGAACCCGACCCCTCTTGCCGACAATCGCCAACACAAGACTCGCGTGTTGGGCTGTACGGTGCTGCATTGCCTCGGAGAGCTCCAGAGAAGGCGATTCGGCGAAGCGGACAGCGCGAGGAGCGAAGACTCGAGCAAAGAGCGCAGGCGAAAGAGCAGGGAATCGTCAAGTTGCAGCGTAATGGAGACAACAACGGACAAACAGTCGCACAGTCCACGGACTCGTCTTCCTAGTTCGCCTCGACAGCCTGCGGTCGCGCCCACCGGTAGCCCTTGGCTCGAGCAAAGCCGTCGGCTCGGTGCGAGGTTGCGGAAGGCTGGAAGAACTCGTTGACGATGGGGTAGCGGAGGAGGTTGATCTGCGCGCGACGAGAGCAGGACTTGTGAGTCAGCGGGGAGAGATGGGCTGAAGTAGAGACCGCGACGCACTCGAGGCGTGATGACTATGCACGATTGGCTGGGAATCTCGACCCAGTCGGCGCGCTCAAACGTGAGAGGTTCGCTCCTGCATGGTGGTCGCACGTCAGTAAGGATCTGTATGACGAGGATGCCGGCAACGCACGCAATCAAGACAATCCGTTCCCGCTTGTCCGCCTTGTTCATCTTGAATGTTCCGGGCTCGACCTCCTGGAACGTCGAACCCGTCGAGAAGAACAGCGAGGCGGCTTCTTCGTTCGCTGAGGTGATGTAGCGAGTCGCGACAACCGAGGTGCCGTCAGAAACGCAGAAGCTGCGGGTGGAGGCGTGGTCAGCGGGGGAGGACAGCAAGCAGGACTGAGGTGAGCTTACTTCATCAAGGACGGCTCTGTCGCGCCAACGTCCTTCGTGTAGGCTGTCAGGACGGCGACCGTGTTCAGCATTGCTTGTCGTAGGATCGCATGCGGGATGGTCGCCTTCTTCGGGTCGGTGAGCTGTCGTGACACGAGCGCTGTCAGCCTTGGCCCTGCTCTGGCGCATGATCTTCCGCATAAGTGACCGTCTACACACCTTCGACAGCTGCTGCAAGAACGCAGCAAACGCCCATTCCGAGTCGGTGTTGCCCTGGGGGACCTGAAAGTACTCGTCCGACAGGTCGTTCTGCAGCCTTCGCTTGATCTTGGCGAAGTCGGAGATGCAGCCGCTGCGGATGGAGCTCGGTCAGCTGGAGGGTTTGGCGGATGTAGAGCCGCTTGGAGACGAACTTGTGCATCCAGACGAGGTTCCCGTAGGTCCAGGGGTGCCTGACACGACAAAAAGATCAGTTGACGTCTCAGTCAGAAGAAGGGCGCCACGCACGTATTTTCCTCGCTCAGTGCGCCGGTCGTGGAGGCACGGACGTGCGCGAAGACGAGGCAACTCTTGATTTTGTCCGCCAGCCGGTGCAGGTTGAGGTTGCTCCACGCCGGGGTGATTGAGCCTGTACAAGTTCAGCGAGTCAGCGAGAAGGCAGATGGATCGCAGACGAACGCGAGCGACGAACGGAAGACGCAGGGTCCTGGACTGTCGGGCGCCTCGTCTGTCGGGTACCATCCCACACCGAAGCCATCTGCGTTGATAGAGCTGCACGCACGACGACAAGCGAAGTTAGCAAGACGCTACGAACGAGTCAAGAAGGAGGACCGACCCTGCATCGAGGCGGAGGCGGGAGTCTGACGCTTGGTTGATGATGCTGTGCGCCGGCTTGGTCAAGAGCTGGCTCAGCTGGATTGGCTCCTCGGCCTTGACGACCAGCAAGCTGCGTTGGCGAGGCGGAAGTGTCGGCAATAGCGTGATCAGTGGGGGCAGGGTGAGAAGAGCGAGCAGCAAACGGGGGAGACTGGCGGCGCACCGGCACATTGTGAGGCGTTTTGTGGCCCTGTCAAGCGAGAGAAAGCAGCAGTTTGAGCGAGGTGTGCGGGCAGGTCGCGTCGAAGAGATGAACTTCGGCAGGTTGGCTCCCTCGACAACGGCTGATCGTCGCTTGAAGGGCTGTTGAGCGACGGACCGCACGCTATAGGTCTCGAGAAGCGATTGTGACGGGCGCCGAAGCTTCCTATGCTCTTGACGCTGCGCCGTCCTTCCTCTCGTCTTGCACCAGACATCCAAGGCGGCTTGCGAGGCCTGCTTTGAAAGATGGGATCGAAGGGGTGCTTGCACAGGGATGGTTGGTGATGCCAGAGCGCTTCTGCGCCCGAGCGCGCTGCGAAGTGTTGTGCTCCTCGCTTCGGTCGTTCGCACTTGCTGCTCCTCTCGCGCTAAACTCGGCAGAAGAATGCACAGATACCCACTACACAGCGCAGTATCAAGCTCACGCATATGGCACAACGAGCTACCACCACCTGTCGTCGCCGTCCCCGCCGACTGGCTTCTTTGCGACGTTGACCGCCAACTCAACCTTGCCGACGCCCAACGCGCCGAGAGTGCACTGGTACATCCACGGCGGCGGCTGCTTGTAGTCGACCTTGACTTGCGGGTCGTCCGGCTTCGTTATCCTGTCGTGCCACGAGCGAGCCCAGCGCTCCGCCGTGTCCAGTTCCGGCTCGACAAAGACGAACGCCTTCTTGTACCGGCTCCACTGGTCGCCGAGCGCCTTTTGAATGAGATCGAACCCGTCTCCCAAACCCTTGTGGGCGCGATTCCAGATTGAGACGCGCAGGAAGACGATGGTTTGCTGCGAGGCGAGGAAGACGAAGCTGTCGAAGGAGGGAAAGTCTGGGTCAAGCAAAGCGACGTAGTCGCAGTTGAGAGGAATGCCGCAGTGTGGCTCAACGTGGAGAAGAGGAAGACCAGGTGGAAGGATGAGAGGTGGGGAGGCGCCAGAGGCACGGAAAACGTTGACATGCGCACCCCAGCAGGAGAGGTGCTCGAGGACGAGGGCATCGTAGCAAGGTCCGTACACTTGCGGGACCCGCGTAATCGTGTCCATAACGTGGTCCAGCGGTCCATCGTGCGCGAGCAGACCGTCAACGAAGATCTTGCGGATGGACGGCGTCGGGAAGACATGGACGCAGTTGGGCCAGTTGGAGAGCAACCCTTCAGGTTGCTGTACGAGGACCTGCTCCCATTCATACCTCACATCTCCCCTGCGAACCGCGGTGTGAAAGTCTTGGAGGTTCGGTATGAACCCTTTCACGTTGATCGGACCGAGGGCATCCTTGATGATGTCGCCCGTCTCGTTGTGGACACCGTGGACGATGCGGCGGATCCCGGCTCCCAACGCCTCGAACGTGGCGAAGGGGTCATACTGCTTGTGCCGACGGGCCTTCGCATCCCAATATCTGGCGACATCGTCGGGAATGAGGCCCATGCGAGCGGCATCCAGGTCGGTCAAGCCGACACCTCGAGCGAGCTGAGAGGATCGCGCCAGCCCGCTGCGGTGAGGGCGGATCTCGGACAGGTAGCATTTGATCTTCTGGACATCGGGGTTCAGCTCGAGGCGCGCCGCGACAATCCTGTGGGGAAGCGACCTCAGTATTCGTTGTCTACCGACTCAGGGAAGCGCAATGTACAGGTACTGCCACATCTCGCTGCGCGACCAGAGATTGTAGTTGATGAAGGTTGCGCAGCGGCGTTTCTTGAGAGAGCGATGACGTTCATCGCCTATGCCCGCAGCGAGGTAGATGGTGTACGAACAGTTGCGGTAGTACGAGCTGGGCGGGCCCGTCCCGTTGACCGAGTCGACGAGGAAGATCGGCTTCTGCAAGAACTCGAGGCAGTCGATGTCGTTGGTGGGAACGGAGAAGACGCCTTTGTCGCAAATCAACGTTGTGCCGGACGAGGTATCGCTGTATCCGAATACAACCGGAATCTTCTTTTCCATGCAGCGAGCGAGGAGGTAGTGCAGGCAGACGGAGTTGCCTACAAGACAGGCTGGTCAGCTCGCGGGAGTCGCGATTTGCAGCCGTTTGAAGGGACGCACCGATGCCAGTCTGGCCGTAGCCAATGCAAGCAGACCGTGCCGCCCAACGCTCATTATGCTCATAAGAACGGTACAACTCGTCCCATGCGTTGACCAGTCTTCCCTGATCAGGATGGGTTCTTTCCGGCACCAGAACCTCGGGAAGGGCGTAACCAGGCCAATGCCGCCCACAACGAGTCCAGCTGGCTTGCCCCAAGTCTCGAGCCAGTACTCGTAGTAGCGGGTCCAGTTGCAATCGCGGAGCAGTCCGAAGGCTTCCGCTTCGATCTGCGAGCTCGGTGCATCGCCGTCGGGCGCATTCAGAGGGGGAGTAGGAGGCTCGACAGTGCTCGTCATGGCCAGTGTCAGCCGAGAATGAGAGAGGAGGTGAGGAGGGCGAGAGCGACGGAGCGGGAGCAGCGAGTATGCCTTGGGAGGGGCGCTGCTTCGGAGCAGAGACTGGGCAGGTATGTAGGAGCACAGTGAGCAGGTCCAGCAAGCCAAAGAGCGTGAGCGAGTGCGTTGTTTAGGAGCAAGAGCGGATGCGAGTCTCCTGGACAAGACCACGACGACAACATCCGCGATGAGCGACGTGAGTGTACTGACTGCGCTCCTACGAACCGTACTGACCCAGTCCCTTGCGCGCAGGCTGGCTCGAGAACTGCCGACGCCCGCTCAGAGCGTGCAGGGTGCGTCCACTCTCTCATCGCTCGATGTCAGCGGGGCGCACGCTGACAAGGGTGCCGTTGCAGCTCTGTCCACTCTCACTACTCGCACGACTCGCGCAGGGACCGCCCGTCCTCGACAGACCCGGACGCAGAGCGGGCTCGCCGCGAGGTCGACCGCGAGTTCGAGCGCGAGCGGGACCGTGACCGCGAGAGCAGCCGGCGCCACCACCGTGGGTCGTCGAGGGAGTACGACTACGACCGATACGAGCGCAGCGGCGGGGGCGGAAGCGGGAGGCGCTCGAGGTCCGGCTACGAGGACGAGGAGTACTACCGCTCGTCGAAGCGTCGCAGGAGCAGGAGCCGTGAGCGTCGTGGGTCGAGGTACGACGACCGCTACGAGCGCGACTACGACCGCCGCGACGACAGGCGTTCGCGCAGGGAGCCCTCCTATGAAGCGTGCGTTCCCCTCCTCTCTCGTTTTCGATGCTTCCTTCTTCCTGACGCTTCTATCGTCTCCTCCAGCCCGCGCCGTCGTCGCTCGCCGAGCTACGAAGCGCCACCGCCGCGTGGAGGTCGCAGCCCGAGTCCTCAGTGCGTCTCAATCGCCCCGCGCAGCTTCTTCCCTCGCTGATCACCCGTTCTCTGCCAGGCTGAGTGAAGAGCAGCGAGAGATGCGCACCGTCTTCGTCTCCCAACTCGCCGTTCGTGTCACAGATCGCGAACTCGGCATCTTCTTCGAGAACTTTGCGGGCAAGGTTCGCGACGCGAGGGTCATCGTCGACAAGATCACGAGGAGGTCCAAGGGGTGCGCCGACTTCCACTCCATTCACGTTCTTTGACGATAGTTAACGCAGCTCGTGCCCGCAGAGTCGGCTACGTCGAGTTCGTCGAGCTTGAAACTGTCCAAAAAGCCCTCACGCTCTCCGGTACCAAGCTTCTCGGTATCCCCATCCAGGTCCAGTACACCGAGGCGGAGAAGAATCGCCAGGCTCGCGAGGGAGCGGCTGGAGGCGGATCTGGCGCGCCTATGACGGGAGGGTGCGTTCCCTTCTTTCGCCTCGGCTCACTGTTGTCTGTGCATGGTTCGCTGATGAGGCACGAGGATGCTCCACAGTCTCTACGTCGGATCGCTCAACTTTGCCCTGACTTCGGACGACATCCGTGAGGTCTTCCAACCCTTCGGCGAACTCGAGACGGTTGAGCTCCATAGGGACCCGGTCACCGGCAAGTCCAAGGGGTACTGCTTCGTCAAGTGAGTCCACGACCTGTCCGCCACTCGTGAGATAAGCTGCTGACTCTCTTCCGTCCGAACTCAGGTTCAAGAAGCACGAGGACGCGATGGTCGCGATCGAGAAGATGAACAACTTCCCTCTGGCTGGTCGCGAAGTGCGTCGTCATTCTCCGTCTATCTCATCTCGATTGAGCCGCTGACCTGCCCTCGTCTCGCAGATTAAGGTTGGTCTCGTGGCTGACAAGAGCGCTACGTTCAGCCAGCACCTGGGGCAACAGGACCTCAACCTCGAGCGCGAGGAGGGCGGCAGTGCGTTTCAGTTCCATCTCGCTCGAGTGGCTCGTACGCTGATTTTCCACTCTTCGCAGCCGGCAAGCTCGACGCCAACGCTCGCATGGACCTCATGCAGAAGCTCGCGCGCATCGACCGCCCGCCCGACCTTCCGCCTACCCCGATGTGCGTCGTTGCGAATTGCATCGAATTTCGATTGCTTGCTGACACCGGCTCGTCAACTCCGACAGGTTCAGGCCTAACATCCCGCAGAACCAGACGCGCAACGTTCTCCTGAAGAACGCGTTCAACCCGGAAGAGGAGACTGAGCGCGATTGGGACACCGACCTTGCAGACGACGTCAAGACCGAGTGCGAGAACAAGTACGGCAAGGTTGTCGACATTTTCGTCGTCAAGGAGTCTGCCGAAGTGCGTCCCCGTCCCGCCATTTTCGGCGCCTGAGCCGATTTAACGCTCGTAGCGCTCACACAGGGCGAGATCTACATCCGCTTCGACACGACCGACATGGCGGCCAAGGCCGTGCAGGGCCTCAACAACAGGTGGTTCGGCGGCCGCACGCTCGTAGCCGGGCACTGCGGCGACTCGCTCTTCGACGCCGCGCGTCCTTGATCGCCTTTCGACTACTCGCTTCCGTTCGCCTTGCGCAACAGGGGATTCGTGCAGTTTTCAGCGGCGACCAGGACTCGTTCGGTCGACAAACGGGTGCGCCGTCTCTCGACTTGCCTGGATGCGGTTCCTCTTTCCTCTCTCGCTTGTCTCTTTCTCGTAACCGGCTGTACACAGCAGTGCACACCTCGCAATGCAGCATATACTCGCACCATCAGCCGGTCTTGAAGGAGCCGGTCTCCCCGCTCCTTCCCGGGCTCTTCCTCGAACTTGTCACTTTCTCCCGCTCGAGCCATGGCTGGCACAGTCTCACTCGGCGAGCTCAGACAGCGCTACAACGCCGCAACCCGCGCATTCCTCGTGCGCGACTACACCACGACCGCCTCGTCGCTCCATGACGCCCTCGCCCGCTGTCCTCGCCTCCCACCCAGCGCCTGGTTCGACGAGCTGCGTGATTCGGGGGCAACACTGCCCGTAGAAGAGATCCGCCGACGCCTCGAGATCCTTCAGATCACCTTCCTCGCGACTGTCCGCTCATCGCCCGCCGCACTCTCTCCAGCATCGAATCTCACGCCCCTGCTCGACCTGCCGCCCGCGAAACTCGTCCACGCACTGTGGAAGAGTCTTCTCTCGACGGAGAGACAAGCGTTGCCATCCATTGAGGTGAAGGACAGCGAGGACGACATCCTCCCCACACCCTCTGCCGCCTACCTTCATCCCTCGCTCGCCGTCTCGCTCGCTCTCGCAGCACTCAAGCTCGACGAACCAAGACTCGCCCGCGCGATCGCCGAGGCGTGGTTCGGATCCGTGAGCGAGGACGTCGAACGCATGGTCTGGGAGACGAGCGGGACGTTGGACTGGGAGGGCGGCGAATTCTCCCTTGACGGAGTTGGTGGACTCGGAGCGTCGAGCATGCTTGGCGCGGCGAGCAAGGACAAGCCGGACGGGCGGAAACAGCTCGTCGGCGCTTGGCTCAAATTGCTCGACTTGCTCGTCCTACATGTCTTGCCGAAACTCGCCGAGTGGGAGGCTGCGGGCGACTTTGTGCGGCTGCAAGGGCAGGAGAACGGTGGGTGGGTGCCGGATCAGCGGGTCGAGGTGCGTCCTCTCGTTGATACGCCGCCCGTCACGCCTTTTTGACAGTTTGTACTCTACAGGCCACGCTCCGCCGACTCTCCGAGGTGCAGCAGGAAGAAGTGCAGCTCGCAGCCGCACGAGCCCAGCGCCAAAAGGACTTGGAGTTGGCGAAGCAGAAGCGAGCGTCTGAAGCGCGGCGGTCCTCCGACAAGGGCAAGGCGCGGGCGCGAGACTCCTCGTCGCCGCGAGACCCGCCTAGCAGCGGCTCCTCTGGCCCATCGTCGCCGACCAAGGCGACGAAGCAGCCCCGGAGCAAGTCGAACACGCCTCGGTCCGGCAACTCCCCCAAGCCTTCCCCTGCGCTTCCTCCTCCTTCCTCTTCGTCAGCGCCCTCCGGTTTCGCAGGCATGCGCGAGTCGCTCTCTTCATACCTCTCCCACCCCGCATCCACCACCACGCCCGCGCACCCGCCCCAACGCTCGTCCCCTCTCTCCTCCTTCGTCTCCTACCTCCGCTACCACTACTCGACCGACCCCGTACGACTACTCAGCATCATCTGCTTCGTCTTTGCTTTCATGACCTGGGCGCGGCGGCGGATGGCCCTGCGGAGAGCGAGGGGACAACGCGGGCTGGGCGTATTCGACGCCATGCGGTTGGCGGCGGCAAAGGTTGGTCAGACGATCGGGATGGCGACCAAGATCACAGCGTTGTAGCTATACACGATCCGCAAGGGATACCTATGCTCGGACAACCCCAGTCAAGGTGACCTTGCCTGCAGGCCCGAGGCTAACTTCCGCTCCGCTCGACTCGCAAGCACGGTGATGAATCGAAGAGAAACTGTATAATTGCGAAAGTAATGCTGACCAAGGACAGTGCAAAGTGATACGATGGTGAATGCGAGGACTGCTTCGCCTCGACTTGCTTTTTCCTTCTCTCCTCCTTCCCCTTGTCCAAACCCGAGTTTAGGCGAAGATGGCGTAGAACTTGGCGCTGAAGTCCTTGTGGAGCGTGTCGATGACCTGGTAGAGCTTCCAGTCGTCGTCGCCAAGACCAGGCGGGCGGACGAGTGCCTTGTCGCGGCTGGACGGGCCATCGTCGTGACCACGGTCCTCGCGGGCATCCCGCGCGTCCTCGACATCAAGGTCCTCCTCGACGTCGTCGCCCTTGCTCGTGCAGAGCGTCTTGATCGCCGAGTGGATCGCAGTGAGCGCGCGGTCAAAGTCCTGCAGGCGGTACCAGACGTCGCCGCGCTCAATTGACGACTCGCGAATGAGGGTCTGCAAGTCGCCGTGGCGGTAGAAGTCGACGACGAACGCGTCAAGGTCGTGCTCGGGCGAGTCGAACGGAGGCGAGGCGAGCTCGGGAACGGCGTGCTGCTGGACGACGACGCCGGCGCGAGCCGAGCGTGCGAGCTCGGTGATGTTGTGGAAATCGTCGCCGTGACCGGACGCTGCTGCGAACGCCGAGCGGCTCTCGAACTGCAGCTCGGATTGGCGGAGCTTGCTGGCGAAGGCCGAGTCGGCAGTCTCCGCCGCGGCCGCCTTGCGCTGCGAGAGCGGCAGCTGGTCGTCCGAGGCCAGCTGGTCCTCGTTCTGCTCGGCGTACTCCTTGGCGTAGGTCGTGAAGACCGACAGGACCGCCTTGTGGTGCTCGTCGAGGACCTTGCGAATGGACTCGGGCAGAGGCGGGAGGACGATGAGCGAGGTCGAGTTGCGAGTCGAGCGCAAGGTCTCGGTCGACTGCTTGCGGCGGTGGACGCGGGCGAACAACGTCGCGAGGATGGTCAACATCAGCCGCAACGTGTTGTCGGGGTCCGAGTCGAGGCCCTCGGCGACCTCGTGCAGCTTGCCTGACCGCAAGAGCGCGGCGAGAGCGAAGTTGGCGGGCTCCTCCGAGTAGAGGGCCGAGGTGATGCCGTAGAGCGTCTTGGGCGTGCCGTCCTCGTCGAGTAGGCCAACGCGGCGGAGGTACTCGATCGCAAAGCGGGCGAAGTGCCGGGTCTGGTCGCGGTTGCCAGAAGCCGAGGCGTGACTGACGGCGAGCTGAGGCAGGTCGAGCAGCGTTTCGACGGCCATCTTGGGCAACTCGGCCTCCTCGGAGCCGTGAACGAGGTTGTTGAGGCGGAGAAGGAGGGTCGTGGTGAGAGGGAAGGTACCGCCCTGCGAGACAACCGACATTAGCTGGCGAAGAGAGATGACGAAACGACTGTACGCACGAGCTTGGGAAGCTTGGACAGCAAGAGACGCTGGATGCGATCGAGGCGGACACCAACGAACAAAACGTTTCCGACCAAGTCGAACCCGCGACGACCGGCACGACCAGCGCACTGGCGGAAGTTGAGCGGGTTGAGCTCGAGCGAGTCGCCGGCAAAGACGGCCGTGCGAGCCGGCGCGTTGATGCCGAGCGCGAGCGTCTGCGTTGAGATGACGACGCGGAGGACACCGCGGCGGTACAAGTTCTCGACGAGGACACGGTAGCGACGAGGCATACCGGAGTGGTGCACTCCTATACCACGACGGAGGGCGTTGATGAGCCACGGGTCCATGTCGAGGAAGAGGAGGTCGTCGACGTCCTTCTTGAACTCGACGTAGCTGATGCCCTTGCCGACAAAGGTGAACTCCTCAGACGGCGCTTCGGGGTCGAAGCTCGGCGCCTCCTCGACGACACCCATGCGGGCAGCCTCCTCCTCCTGCTTGCGGTTGACAGTCGACGTCTCCATCGCCTTGGCCTTCTTCGCCGCAGCCTTCTCGGCCGCCTTGGCGCGAGCAACGCGCTCCTTGAACGTCGACGAGTTCTTGCGCCACTGGTCCTCGGCGGTCTCGAGGTCCTTCGAGATGCGCTTCGCGAGCGACTCGCAGTGGTCGCGCGAGAAGTTGAAGAGAATGGCCGGGAGCTGGTTCTGCGCGTTCAAGTCGGCAAGGAGCGGCGTGAAGAGCGAGTTGAACTGGTCCTCCGTCGCGTCCTCGATGAGCTTCTCCGAGATGCCGAGCGAGTCGCGCAACGGCTTTTCCAGGAACTCGACGGTGCGGGAGAAGCGGGACGTCGGGCTGGCGTAGTCGGGCTCGTTGCGCCATTCGAGGAGAATCTTCTTGAGCTGCTTCTCGTACTCGATGCAGTGGCGAATGGCGATGACGGGCGTCGGGGCGAAGAACTTGCGAGGCTTGAGCTTCGGGTCGAGCTCCTTGTCGACGGTCGACATGGCGCGCCAGAGGGCGAGGCAGTCGCGCGGCTCGAGGGCGAGGTCCTCGGGCATCTCAGGGTCACCGAGACCGAGCGCAGCGACAGGGTGGACGGGCGCAAAGATCTGCGGCCTCGAGCGGTACTCGTCGAGTGGGCCGATAGGCTTGACGGGCCACTCGTTCATCCGCGGTGCGTACGCAAACTTGCGAAGGGCGTTGAACCGGTGGGTGTGGATGATGAGGGCGTACTGGCGGCCGTTTGCCTGCTCGACCGACTCGAGCCAGGCGGAGAAGCGCTCGGGCGCTCCGACGGTGGCGGAGAGACCGATGATGGGTGCCGGGTTCATGAGCAAGACCTGCTCCCACATACCACTGCCTTCTTCGGCGACGGCGTGAATCTCGTCGACGATGACGCGCTTGATGCGAGGCGTCCAGACGCGGGCGAGAGCCGGGTTGAGGAGCATCTCGGAGAACACCTGCGGGACCGTGACGAGGATCTGACAGTTCTGCGGGTTGTTGACGCGGTAGTCGCCGGTGTGGACGGCCCACAGCGCCTGACCGGGCACTTCCTTCGAGAAACGGGCGAAGCATTCGGCGGCGACCTGGTTGACGAGGGCCTTCGATGGCGCAACGTAGACGACGACGCCCTCGTCCGACTCGCGGAGAACGCGCTCCATGGCGGCGAACGAGATGAAGGTTTTGCCGGACGAGGTCGGGGCGACGATGAGCATCGACTTGTCCTCGTCGATGTTGTCAAGAACCTCGCGCTGCCATGCGTCCGGCTCGAAGTCGACACGCGGGTCGGGCTTCGAGTCCAGCTCCCTCGCCATGTACTCGCCCATGTTGCGGAGCTGCCACTCGAGCGGGTTCTCGTCGATCTCCATCCAGTCGTACAGCGCCTCGCCCTCGTCCTTGTCGATGAGCGAGCAGTAGTGGAAGGTGAGCTTGGCGCGCTCGTCCTTCTCGCCCTTGGACGCCTTAGACGACGCCGAGGCTGTCGCGTCCTTTTTGGCGGCCTGCGCGGCCTTGCTGCCGGGCTTCGCACCGCCCTTCTTCTTCTTGCCGTCCTCCTCGACAGCCTTCTTGTCCTTCTTCGACTCGCCCTTGTCGATCGCGACGAACTCGATGCCCTCGGGGATGAGGCACTCGAGGCCCATGACGGCGAGCGTGTTCGTGATGGCACGACCCTGCTTCTCGGTGATGATGACGGAGCCCGAGCCGTCCTGCTGAGCACGGAGGTACTTCTGCAGGAGCGCGCTCGCGGTGCGGGCGATGAAAACGCGGTAGCGGTCCTTGACGTCGTCGGCCTCGCGGCGGTCGTCGGCAATCCAAGCGCGGAGCTCGAGGTCGAGCCGCTTGACGACCATCTCGGTTCCGAGCCACGGGTCCTGCGCACGCTTGTTCTTGAGGTACGAAGTGATCTGCGAGATCTGGCCGGGGATGGGCAGGTCCTTGAGGTCGTCGAGGCGCTCGATCCACCACTTGTAGTTCTCCTTGCCCTCTTCCTGAACCTTCTTGGCCGCGTTCTCGGCAATGAGCTTCTCCCTGCTCGTCAGAACCTTGACCTTGTCCTTCTTGCTGCCACGTCCGCCAGTCGTGCTGCCATCCCTGCCGACCTCGCTACCAGTCGGCGTCGACGCGCCACTCTCCGACAAGGCAGGCGTGTTGATGCCCGATCCAGGTCGAGAGCTCTTCGCGGCAGCCGCAACCTTCTCCCTCAGGACCGAAGCCGAGCGCTTGCCGACAGCCGGGATAACCTGCTGCTTGAGCGCGCCGCCAAGGGCGCCCGTGAGGGACGCAGCAGACTTCTGCATCTGCGCCATGAAGCGCTGTTCCTTCCTGTCGCGCTTCTTCTTCTCGCGATAGTCGAGGACGGGAGGGGGCGGGCCACCGAGGTGAGTCGGCAAAGCGGGCTTGGGGTTCGACCAGCCGTGCGAGTCGGAGAAGACGGACTTTTCGTCGAGCTTGTTCGGGAGGGTTGCGAGAGTCGACGAGGCCGAGACCGAGACGTTGACGCTCGAGAGGTGCTCGGTGAAAATGCTCGAAGTGTAGGGGAGGACGGTGTCTTCGGTGAGAGGCGAGGGAAGGGCGGGGAGCTCGGTCGACTGGGAGGGGAGAGCCGAGCGTAGGGCGGCAAGGTCGGGCTCGGAAGTCGACGAGAGCGAGGACCACAGCGACGAAAGCCGGGACGCGACCTCGGGACCGAGGAAGTCGCCAAGAGACGAGACCGAAACGTCTCCATTCAAGACCTCGACGAGGAGGAGGAAAAAGATCCGGCCGTCGATGTCGAGGTCGGCGAGGGGGTTCGTTCGCTCCGACTCGGGCAAGGCCTCGATCGCCGCGCTCAAGCTCGCATAGAACTTGGCGAGGAACGGCTCGAGGACAGCCATCAGCTCCTTTGACGGAGTCGGGATGCGCTGAGCGCGCGAACGGAGAGGGATGGTCGGGAGGAGGAGGACGTGCGAGAGGTAGAGGTAGAGGAGGGTCGACTCTTGTGCGGAGGGGGACGAGGCGAGGAAGGTGGAGGCGGATGAGCGGAGGAGGTCGTCGACCGAGACCGACGAGGGCGCGGACGAGACCGAAGGAAGTGCCGGCAACGCCTTGTCGAGCGCAGCGCGGGCAGCCGAGACGGCGGCAGTGATGTTGGCGGGAAGAGCCTCGACTGTGCCGCGAACAACGTCGTAGAAGTACGTATTGATCTGTGTGAGGATCGGTCAGTTGGCCTCGCAGGAACTTGGAGCGATGCGAGCGCGGACGCACCTTGGTGTCGGTGAACTCGGCAGCCTGGAGGAGAACGTACGGCAGGCTCTGGTGAACCGTGTCGTAAAGGTTCTGCCTCTGCAGCAAGATCCGCTCCGCCTGCAACTCGTTCTCCTTCGTCTGCAAGCCTCCATCGTAGCCGAGGACGTACATGGGCTGCGAAAGAGGGGCTCAGTAGGGGCCGGGCGGGGAGAGGATTATTGAGCTCACCCGCTTGCGTTGGTACCAAGCCTTCCACTTCTCGTCCTGCAGCGACTCGAAGTGGTGAACCTTCGTGTCGGGCAAATTTGCGCGGCGCATGAGGACAGAGCGAGCGAGGCGACGAGCAGAGGTGATGTAGTCGGATTCGCCGGTGTGAATCGTCGAGTGCGCTTGGCCTGCGGACCGGCGGGTCAGCTTGAGGGGACGGTGGGAGACGGGAAAACGAAACGCACTCTCGAAGAAGACGATCTCAAACGTCGTGTCCTTCTTGAGCAGCTCCTCAACCGTCTTCTCCATTAGCCAGGTCGCGTGCAACAGCTGCATGCTGGGGTCGCCCGCGCGTCCGAGTCCGAGGAGCTCGTCGTCGAGGACGAACTGGAGCAGTGCGTCGCCGTCGAGAATGAAGAGCTCTTGACCGGAGTAAATGAGCACATCCATCCAACGCGGGTACTGGGCGATGAACCATGACCTGTTTCGGGGCGTCCGGATGAGTTAGTACGGATCTTTGGTTGCTCAGGCATTGTTCGACCCCGTAGCCATCCTGGAATGCTCCCGCGACCATTAGTCGTGCCCAGTCGAGCTAGAACACCGGCGACTAGGAGTGAGGGAAGACGAGGTGCAGTGGAGAGGGCCGCGCGAGTGACGGATGTGTGGGCGTTGGTGGGGTGCTGTGTCATGGAAGGTCTTTGACGACGAGGTGTGCTGAGGCGAATGACAGGGGTATCCCGTCGAACGGTGCGGAGCGGGAGTGCTGAGAGGACAGTTCGAGGGGAGTCGAAGGCGTCGAGCGAGCACACCTCCTCCGGGAAAACCGCGCTTCAGACCATTCCCCATTCATCCCCAGTCCAACCTGAATGTACTCCAGCAGCCGCCCGTCTCGCGGAGGAGTGGCGGCAAAGGACTATGGCTGTGGATGCGATGAGGAGGCGAGAGGAGGACGCACGAGTCGAGGCGGTTCAGCGCATCGTGCGCTGTGAGCTGTCCTGAGCCATTCGTGACTCCATCGGCAGCTTGTGCCATCGTGAGCCGCTGAGGACAAGAGCGAGAAGCGCGAGCGGGCGAACTTCGAGGTGACCCGCATACCTCGCCGCAGAGTGCAGCGCTTCTAGGCTGCACTGCTCACAGACAGCGTGACTAGATCAGTCTTCGTACTTCTGAATTTTTGCGGGACGAGGCGAAGGCGCGATGGAATATATCTCTCGACGAAAAGGCGACAACATCTCGCCGGGCATTCGTAGCTGCCTTGCAGCGATTCTGAAGCTATCATCTTTGCTCTCAAGGTGCTGCCACCGTATACACAGGGGTTAAGGAGGAGCGACTCCTCAACTCCGCCCCCTCTCTCCTCCTCGTCCCGCTCGCTTCTTCGTCATGGCCACGCTGGGCTGGCGAGCTAACACGAACCACATCGACTTGACGCTCTCGTCCTCCGATGAAGACGAGCAGCCCCGCCTCTCGTCCAGAGGCGCGCACCGGCCGCAAGTTGAACGACTCGCTGGATCTGGCGGAGGGAGGCGCTTGAAGCGGGCGCCGAGGATTGTCGACTCGGAGGAGGAGGAAGAGCAGGACGGTGCGGAGGCTGACGAGTTCAAATACGCCGTCCAGCAGAGTGCAAGGAAGCGAGTCGTCCCGGACGACGAGGACGAGTTGGATGAGGGGCACTCGCGGGGAACATTCATTGTTCGGCACGACGCTGCATCGGGACAGCTTGAGGCTGAGGAGGGCGAACTGTCGACGGAGGAGGAACCGGACACGGCGGACGAGGAGGGCGAGGACCTGGACGAGGAGGAGGAGGAACTCGCTCCCCTCGACGACCTGCGACGTCCGGCTCAGCACGTTACTGCGCCCGCACAACTGACGGCAGAGGAGCAGCTGCGCAAGTACGGCTTCGTCATGCACCAGCCCGCCGCGCAGCCTAAACCGGCCGTTCCCTCGTTCCCCAAAAAGGCGCCGTTCGGCTCCATCACCAACACCGCCCCCTCTTCGTCGTCCGCTTCTTCTTCTTCGCTCTTCAACAAGTCCGCCGCCGCTCGTCCACGCCTCCCCTCAACCCTCGACGCTTTCGGCTTCAAATCCGCGACGACGGAGCGAAAGGTTTCGGCGAAGGAAAGGGCGTTTGAGCAGATGAGGGAGGACCAGAAGCGGCTTGGAGTGCCGATTGACGTGCCGAAGAACGCGCAGCGTTCCGCGAAGGAGGCGGAGGACAGCGACCCTCTCGCTGCGATCGGTTCGTCCCGCTTTCATTCCTTCTTCCCATCAGCTCGCTGACTTTCTCCCTCTTGCAGACGACGAACGCGCTCTTGCGGCTGCAATGCAGGATCTCGATGTCAATGACGACGCCTCGCCAAAGGATCAAGAGTCGGCGCTCAAGGACCTCGTCTCGTCCACCATCGACATGGACAACGTCGACACCTCGTCCGTACGTCCCATTCGGTCTACTCCAACTGCAGACGCACGCACTGACAGGAGAGCGAATCGCAGGGCCCGCCCGCCGGCCTCAAGTGCACCCTCCTCCCGCACCAAGTCCAGGGCTTGCACTGGCTCAAAGACCGCGAGTCGGACAAGAAACGCGGAGGCATCCTCGCCGACGATATGGGTCTCGGCAAGACTGTCCAGCTCAGTGTGTTCCGCGCTCCCTTTCAGCGAGCTCACGGGCTGACAGTATCGAGCGTCGCAGTCTCGCTTCTCCTCGCTAACCCCTCCGACCGGGAGAAGTGCAAGTCCAAGACTACGCTCGTGGTCTGTCCCGTCGCCCTCATGGGCCAATGGAAGCAAGAGATCGAATCGAAGACAGACGGTCGTCTCCGCGTCTTGATCCACCACGGCCCAAGCAGGACGGACGAAGGGCGCAAGTTGCAGAAGTACCATGTCGTCATCACCTCCTACAACACGCTCTCGTCGGAATGGGTCGACCCGAAACCGAGGCAGAAGAAGGGAGGGTACGGGTCCAGCGAGGACGAGGACGAGCTTGATGAGTTGGGCAAGTTGAGTGCCAAGCTAAGCAAGAAGGGCGGGAAGGTCAAGGACGACAAGGGCCCGTTGTTCGACGAAGACTACATGTTCTATCGCGGTGCGTCCGCGTTCCTGCCAGCATCGAGCCTGACGCAAGCTGACTCGGTTCTCTCGTTGCGCAGTCATTCTCGACGAGGCTCACCAAATCAAGAACACCAACACGAAGGTCAACAAGGCTTGCTGCGATCTCAAGGCGCACTACCGCTGGTGCTTGACCGGAACGCCGTGAGTTCGGCACTATCGTAGTTCGTCCGTCAGCCCTCACTCACCACTGTCATCCAACCGCGCAGCCTCCAGAACGACGTCATGGACCTCTACGCCATTTTCAAGTTCCTCGGCGGCCGCATCGTGCGCCCTCTGCACGACGTCAGCGAATTCAAAGCCAAGATCGCGAGACCGCTGAAAAGCAAGCGCACGAAGACGGCGCTCGCACGCTTGCAGATCGTCCTCAAGGCGATCATGCTCCGCCGTACCAAGACGATGACGGTTGATGGGAAGCCGCTTCTGACGCTGCCAAAGCGCGAGGTCATCGTAGTCAAGGGACCTTTCCTCGACCAGTGCGTGGCCGTTCTTCCGTCTCCTCCTGGCGCTGATTTGCTGACCATGCCTTTGCGGAGCAGGAAGGAAGCGGACTTTTACAAGAAAATCGAGGAGAAGATGCAAGAGGCGCTCAGCGAAATGGCGACGAGCGAAATCATGAAGGACATGACCAAGGTCCTCGTCAGGCTTCTCGTACGTCCCCCGAGTTTGCCTTGACACCCTTTTCTGACTGATCTGACGCCACTATTCCGCGCAGCGCATGCGCCAAGCTTGCAACCACCCTTCGCTCGTCACGAAGAACTCGATTGAGGACCAGCGCGATGCCCTCGACCCGACTCCGCAGCGGGCTCGCACGACACCGACCGGATCTGGCGCACCCTCCCCTTCTGCCTCGCATGCCGACGGGCTCGCCGACCTTCTCGACGGCATGTCGCTCAATACCTGCGCCTTGTGCTCGGCAACCGCCTCGACTAATGACAGCGGCTACTGCAAGTCGTGCGACCGCGACATGGAGCGCTACGCTTCGCTCTCGTCGTCGACCAAGATCAAGCGCACGCTCCATATCCTCGAGGGTATCAAGCGGGAGAGCTACGAGGCGATCGAGGCGGAAGCGCAGGCTGAGGACGACGAGCAGGACAGCGACGATTTCGAGCTTGGCGTCGTCGACGCGCTGAAAAAGTCGAAGCTGGGAATGAAGAAGACGATCATCTTCTCCCAGGTGAGCTGAATGGTCCCACGCTCGACGCGTGATTGCTAACTCCGCTGCGCCGCCAGTTCACCTCGATGTTCGACATTCTCGAGCCGTTCTTGCGCAAGGGCGGATACCGCTACGTTCGCTGTGCGGCCCATCTACACCGCTTCGAAAGCCCAGTACTGACCGCTCACATCTCGACAGTCGACGGCCAGCTCAACGCGAAGGAGAAGGAGGCTGCACTCGACGCAATCCGCAACAACCCCAAAGTCACGGTCATCCTCGTCTCGATCAAGTGCGGCGCCGTCGGCCTCAACTTGACCTGCTGCAGCCGGGTCATCCTGCTCGACCTTTGGTGGAACCCGGCCATTGAGGAGCAGTGCGTGCCGTCTTCCTGCCGCAATCTGAGTCTTCCGCTGAGCTTCAGTCACCCCGCAGAGCCTTCGACCGCGCTCACCGCTTCGGCCAAAAGGACGACGTCAAGATCTACAAGCTCACTATCGACGACACGGTCGAGGAGCGTATCCTCAAGCTGCAGGCCGACAAGGCCGAGCTCGCCAAAGCCGCACTCGACGGAGGCGACCTGTCCAAGGGCAACAAGCTTTCGGTCCAGGAGATTCTGTCGCTCTTCAAGCTCGACAAGCTCGACTAGCCCAACTTCGTCACTTTCGTCTTTCCTCCTTCGTTCTTGCGCCCTCTCTATCGGTCTCTGGGTCTTCTCGCCGTTCTGGGTATCGCTGGTCGCTCGTCGTCTCTCGCAGTCGCCTGACTCCTTCGCTGTCTATTGTTGCCATCCCTCTCGCTCTTTGCAACTCAGTTTCTTGGTCTACCAGCAGCATGTCGACAGTGACGGTTTCGATAGCCGTAGCATCGAGAGAGAACCGTGGAATAGCTCAATAGGTGTGCGAGGAGGTCGGGTAAGAGCACGGCTGAAGTCGCAGAGTCGACGTCGCGGGGTTCGTGAGTCCTGGTCGGCGTCTGTAGGTCGTTGAGAGATGCAGCGAACAGCGGGAGAGACCGGCTCAGTCGACTTGCCTGCGAGCGAGAGAAGGTAAGGAGGGAAGGGGACTCGAGCGTGCTCTGCCTGGCTTTGTCGAGGTCGAACAACTCTCCAGCTGGCTGAAACGCTCGAAACGTCGCTCTGAGTGCTGTAGGATCTTCTCGTAGACCCAGAAGCCCATGTAGCAGGCGCAACGCTTCATCGAGGTTGAGAAGGTCGGCGCAGGGAGGAGTCGACGAAAGCCAGCGCGACTCACGGGCGCGCGGTTTCTTCGGCCGCTTTCTAAGCTGTGGCCTCACTGTGCATGCGCGCAGGAGTCGGAACGGACGAACTGAAGCAGTCAATGTGCACGCAATTAGTTGAGGGGATATGTATGCCCAGTCCCGCTCAGCCACCACTCAGCCCGGCTAGCTCAGCTAGTGAGCGCTTCTTCGATAGTATAGTGGCTAGTATCCAGCCTTGTCACGGCTGAGACCCGGGTTCAATTCCCGGTCGAAGAGTTTCTCTTTTGCCTCCCTCGCTGGCGGCTTCGCCCGTAGTAATGGCGCTCGTCAAGGCGTTGTGCTTTTTGCAGGAGACACGTTGGCGCGAAGCGAAGAGGTGGCAATCGAGCGCACAAGGCGATCTCACCCAGCAACGACGTAGAACGCTTGTCAAGTCAAGGCCGGCGCCGAGCCAGCCGTTTTGTTTGCAGTACCGACGAGAATGGAGATTCACAGTGTCCCTACAGAAGAAAATCGCAGACGCAAGAACGAAGGGACGGAGATGAGGGCGAAGGGACGAGAGAGATAGAGAAGTTGCTCTACTGCGAGGATGCGACGAGGCGAAATGAGGAGGGTATAGGGGCGCTTAGAGGCGCTGGATGACGATGGCCGAAGCTCCGCCGCCGCCCTGAACGAGTGCGAGAGTCAGCAACCGAGTGAGGGAGAGTAATGGAGAGGAGGCGAGATGGGACGCACGTTGCAGACACCGGCAACACCGTACTCTCCCGGCTTGAGCAAGTGCACGAGCGTGACGATGATCCTGCTTCCGGACGAGCCGAGCGCGTGGCCGAGGGCGACCGCACCACCGCTAACGTTGAGCTTCTCAGTGGGGATACCGAGAATCTTTTGGTTGGCGATGGCGACAGCCGAGAAGGCTTCGTTCACTTCGAACTTGGAGATTTGGTCCATTGAGAGACCGGCGCGCTTGAGGGCGAGGGGAACGGCCTTGGCGGGCGCGATGGGAAAGTCGATGGGCGCGCAGGCGGCATCGGCGAAGGCTGCGACGGGCAACGATTCCCGGAGTCAGCTTGCGACGACACGGCGGGACGTTGACAGACTCGAGCGCCGAACGCACAGATGACCTTGGCGAGGGGCTTGAGGCTAAGCTCGTCAACCTTCTCCTGGGACGCAAGCACAAGCGCGGACGCTCCATCGTTCAAGTTGGACGCATTCGCAGCCGTGACCGTCCCATCCTTCTTGAAGACGGGCTTGAGGCTCGCAACCTTCTCAGGCTTGATCTTCTTGTACTCCTCGTCCTCCTCGACGACAACCTCACCCGCGCGGCTCTTGAGCGTCACGGGCGCGATCTCGGCCTTGAATGCGCCGGCCTTCCATGCCTCGGCGGCCTTGCGGTACGAATCGAGGCAGTAGTTGTCCTGGTCCTCGCGGGAGATCTGGTGCTTTGCGGCGGTCTCCTCGGCGCTGCGCGTGCGTCAAGTCAGTGGGTACAGGAGACAAGAGTTCAAGATGGCTGCTCGGTCACCAGTTGCCCATGGGGTAGTCGCCGTAGACGTCAGTCAAGCCGTCCTTGACGATGGCGTCGAGAGCCTGGAAGTGGCCGAACGTGGCGGGGGTGCGGGGAGCGTAGAAGCTGCGCCAACGAGCTCGTCAGCATGGGTCCTAATCAGAGCGAGGGAAACGGGAACGAACGGAGCGTTAGACATGCTCTCCATGCCGCCAGCAACCATGAGGTCGCGCTGGCCAGTCTGGATGTTCTGCGACGCGAGCATGACGGCCTTCATTCCCGAGGCGCAGACCTGTACATTCCAAAGACCGAGCAGGTCAGCACAGTCCCTCACAAAAGCGCAGGACGAAGCGACCAGGAGAACTATCGCCGGAAACGCACCTTGTTGATGGTGGTCGCCTCAGTCGACTCGGGCATTCCCGCGCCAAGGACGACCTGCCTCGCCGGACTCTGCCCAGCTCCAGCCTGCAAAACCTGACCAAAGTAGAGGTCCTCGACCTGGTCGGGCTTGACCTGCGCCTGCGCGAGGACGCCCTTGACGGCCGCGACGCCGAGTTGGACGGCGGTGGCGGCCTTGAGGGCACCCTGGAATGAACCGACGGGCGTGCGGGCCTGATTGCATTGCAAAGAAGGGGTGTTGGGGGCATGGTTCGAGAGGAGAGGAGGACAAAGCGAATGCCGCGAGATTAGCTCGTGGGTCGGTGGTCGCGCGTGGGAAAGGGTCAGAACGCACAGCACCGACGATAAAAACCTCGCGGAGGCCGTTCTGAGCGGTGGAGGACGACTGCGAGGGGTGGCGTGAGGTCGCGCGGGTGTGGTGGAGTGAGGCGGTCGTTCGAGGCGGGGATTTCGCGTCAGCGTGGGTGGTAGAGCTGTTGCAGTGCGTGTGCGTACCATTCTGATGTGAGCGAGTCTGCGTGCGGCGATGGAAGCGGTCGAGGAAGCGGTCGAAGAGAGCGAGAGCAGCACTGGCGAAGTGCGACGAGCGGTGTGAGCGTGAGCGGGGTGGCTCGACTGCGCTCGTACGACACGCGTGCTTACTGTGTTTGTAGTCCTTGAACAAGCTTACAAGCAAGAGCAAGAGCAAGAGAGCGAGCGGACTCCGGCACCACGTGCCAACCGGTGGGCGGTCTCCCGACAACTCCCCTCGCAATACAATCCCCCGTTACTCAAGGCGACTAGCTACGCATGCCCTCCGTTTTGACTCGAGTGACCCGACCGACCGACCAGCGAAAGAAGAGAGAGCGGCGGGCTCAGGCAGAGGCAGAGGCGGCGACCTTGGACTTGACAGCGTCGTCGGCCTGGGCGAACGGAGCGGCGTGCTGCATGGCGACGGCCTTGTCGCGGGCGTCATCGACGTCCTTGAGCGCGAGGAGGTCCTCGGTCCAGAGGTTGACGACCTCCTTGGGCTCCTTGGCTCCAACGCCGCACCTCCCGCCCTGGGCCTCCCACTCGCTCGTACGCTTGAGACCAAGCTCGTTCCACACGCTGTCGAGCGCGGCGACGAGCTCCTTGAGCTGCGCGTCCGTGTGCAGCGGCGACGGCGTGATGCGGAGGCGTTCCTCGCCGCGCGAGACGGTCGGGAAATTGATCGACTGGATGTACAGCTTGTGCTTGGTCAGGAGCAAGTCGGACGCCTGCTTGGCGAGGTCCGCGTCGCCGACGAGGAGCGGCACGATGTGCGACGGGTTCGGGATGACCGGGATCCCGATCGCAGTCAAGTCGCGCTTGACGCGAGCGACGTTGCGCTGCTGCAGCTGGCGGTCGCCGAGATGCTCCTTCTGGTACGCGATCGCGGCGCGAGCACCGGCAGCCGTCGAAGGCGGGATCGACGTCGTGAAGATGAACCCGGGCGCGTACGAGCGCACCATGTCGACAAACTGCGCGCTGCCGGCAATGTACCCGCCGACGACGCCGTAGGCCTTACCGAGCGTGCCGGTGATGATGTCGACGCGGTCCATGACCGAGCCCTGCTCGCCGCCGCGGGCGTTGGCGTAAAAGTCGAGGTGCTCGGCAACGCCTGCGCCGGTCGGCCCGTACATCCCGACGGCATGCACCTCGTCGAGGAACGTGATAGCTCCGTACTTTTCGGCGAGGTCGCAAATCTCCTTGATCGGGCCGACCGTGCCCGACATCGAGTAGACGCTCTCGAACGCGATGATCTTGGGCGTCTCGAGCGGGAGCGCCTTGAGTCTGTTCTCGAGGTCGACGAGGTCGTTGTGCTTGAAGATCATCTTTTGCGCGCGCGAGTGGCGGATCCCCTGGATCATCGACGCGTGGTTCATCTCGTCCGAGAGGATGACGCAGCCGGGCAGCTTGGACCCGAGCGTCGAGAGCGTCTCGACGTTGGCGACGTAGCACGAGCTGAACACGAGCGCAGCCGGCTTCTGGTGCAGCGAGGCCAGCTCCGCCTCGAGCGCGAGGTGCATCGCGCCGTTGCCGGCAATGTTGCGCGTCCCGCCCGCGCCGGCGCCGTACGTGTCGAGCGTCTCGTGGATCGCCTTGAGCGTGACGGGGTGGCGGCCCATGCCCAAATAGTCGTTCGAGCAGTGGACGGTCACTTCATCGGCCTTGTTGGCCGTGTGAGCGACCGGATACTTGGCGGCGAGCCTGTTGACGTTATTGAAGTACTGTGCGTAGGTAATGGAGTCAGCACGACATTCCGACTGCTTTGGAGAAAGCCGGAAAGCGCTCTGCAATGGAAGAACCGCTCGCTCACCCTGTAGGACTTGTCCTGGTGCTTCTTCGCCAGCTCGCCGCTATAGAACGCCTCGTAGTCGAAGCCAGGTCTAAACGACGTGATGCGGTGCTTGGCGAACCCAAGCGCGCACGTCGGGCGACCTTCGGAGTGGACCTCGTTGGGCGAGTGAGCGTCGCGCGAGATCGAGGCGGGGTTGACGAACGCCGGCTGCGGCGCCTGGCTCGTCTCGGTCGCCCTGCGGACTGCATTCTCCTGCACCTCGGCAATCGAGGCGTACCCGCGCGCGAGGGCGGCGGGCGACGGCGAGTGAGCGAGCGTCGAGGGGGACTTGGGGGTGGCCTGGTTGGTCGTCGCGGGCGGCTGGTGGGCGGGGACGACGGCAGAGGTGGCGAATCCGCGCTCGGCGAGGGCATGGCTCATGAGCGGGCAGCGCGTGCTCGCGAGCTCGGTGAGCCTGTTGGTGTAGGTGCCGCGGAGGGACTGGGTCGAGTACTGGCGGAGCGACGACACGGACGCGTGCGAGAGGAACGGGCACACGGCGCCGTAGCGCTTGAGAGCTTGGGCAACTTCGAATGCCATCTCGAGAGCGGGCGCGAGAGTAGCGATGGGTGGGAGCGAGCAGAGGAGCAGAGCGGCGAACCGGCAACTCAAAAACCTCGGGCGATGGGACGATGCTCGACGTAGGAACATTCTACATGGCTCACTGATGCAGAGCCGAGGCAGCAGACGGAGCAGGAGGAGCGCGATAGACCGCGGAAGGCGAAAGTTACAGGACAACCGAGTACGAAAGACAACATGGGACAGAGTCGCTGTAGACAGCCCAGTCTAGAAGTGAGAGACCTGTCGAGAGCTACGGAGAGAGCGCGCAAGTGTCAGCAGGCGCGGGCAGCGGCAGGACGAGGGAGAGTCAGAGGGACGCACTGGTGTACTCGCAGGAAGAGCCAGTCGACCGCTTCTCGGATGCCGTCACTGTGAGGGGAAGGATAGGTCGCAGTCAGCCAACGACACCCTCTAGGTCGTGGCAGCGAGACGAAGAATCAATCCTCGCACTCACCCTCTCAGCGCCGAGATGGGCAACACCGCGCCCTCGCTGACGTTCAACTTGCCAACGATGAGCTGATTGAACATCTGCTTGATGTCCTCGACCGCCATGGCGCCTTCGCAGTCTTGCTTGTTGGCAAGGACGAGCGTTGGGACGCCGTCTACTCGGTGATCCGTCACGATCTCCTCTGTCCGTGCAGAGATTGTCAGCACGGGTCCAACGTGGTGAAGAGCCATTGAAACGCACCAAAGACCTTCCAGCACTCCTCTATCCGCTCCTTGTCGGTCGAGTCGATGACAAAGACGACGGCGTGGCATTCTGCGTAATACTTGGGCCAGATCCGCCGGATGTCTCGTTGTCCTGTAAGGGGTCCTCGTCAGTAAATCTACAAGTCGATACGACAGGCTGGACGCACCTCCCAGGTCCCAGAATTGCAGCACCGTTGACGACAAGGTGATCCTCCCGACTGTTCGAGGCAACATCCTTGGTTAGCGCTTGCCCTCCAGTCCAGCCGAGTGGAAGTGCGCACTGTTCTGTCCTATTGTCGGCGCAATACTCTTCGGATCCACGTCTGGTGTCCGGTTGAAGGTACTCTTGACTTTCTCTGCGGACGCGAACGAGGTTAGTTGCGGTCCAGCTGTTCGAGGGAGTAGATGCGCACCGAGGAACGTCGTCTTTCCCGCGTTGTCCAGACCCATGATCAGCACCGAATACTGCTCATCAAGAAGCGCGAACCGAACGTCCGTCGGGAGGAAAGGGTCAGTCTGGCTCAATAGGACGAGGGCAGGCGGGCGCACCTCTTGCTTCTGCATCAAGTAGGCTACAAAGCCCGTCACGAGGCGATACATCCTGCCCTTGCTGCCGTGACCGCTAAGAAGGAGCCGGGTCGAGCGAGTTGAGCGAGGGAGGAGGTGGAGAGAAACGGGGTCGTTCGAGGGGTTCGCCGGCGCGACTTAGGCACGAGATAGAACTGTCTGAGCCGGTCAAGTATATCGAAGGTCCAGCCGAGCTGGCGTGGTCGCTTCCAACCTCGTCCTTCGGCTCCACTTCATCTCCTGGACAATACAGAGCTACGAATCGGCATACTACAAAATCGCACCTAACCCTTCTCCCTTAACCCTTGCCCTCTTCCGCCGTCCTCTCTCCTTCCTCGGTGCATGCATGCGTCATCCTCGTAACGGGTACGTCGCGGAAGCGTGGCCCCCCAGCCCCTGGGAAGGGTGGGCGTTATGTTACGAGGGTCGTCCTGCACGACGTCGCCACGGCTTCGGTCCCTGTTGCAACCGCGAACGAACGTTGTCAGCGCCCGAGAGCAGACTCGGTGATGAGAGAACGGTCAACACGCACGTGGAAGCACAGTCCGGCATCGCTGCCGTCTGCCGAAGCATTGCTGCTGTCCCGCGGCGAGGAACCGAGTCGTTCTGCGTTGCAGTGCACGGACAGAGTCAGCGACGGCGAGTGCGGAGTGAC